GAATACTAATAGCTAATATCCTGAAAGAATTGTAGAACATGCTTGTTTGTTATAAATGGCGAAAATTAATTTTCAATTTTGTAAAATATCGTCGATATATAAAGGTAATATGATACACACTCACACGTGTTAACTGCGGCAACTGGGGCAGGTTTACTCAGGTCAATCAAGAATACCATCGAGAAAATAAACAACTTGCACGTAGCAAGACGGATAGATATGTGGAATTAAAAACTATATTTGTAAGTAGGTATTCTGAAATATAAATATGTTGTTTATGAACCGATTGGAACCAAAGGATGATACTCAAAATGATGGTATTTTCTTTTACATACATTCTGTATCTTCGTAAAACTAAAGTGATTCTGATGATTATTTTTGCATAATAGTTTTTCTTTCGCACCATTTTTTGTCACAATTCGTAGTCTGATTTTAATAATAAAATAAAAAAATTGGTATCTATTAGTTCTGCGTTTAATTAAATCTACGGCGTGTAAATTATTTTGCTTACATAAAGCAAGCAGTACCTATAATTAACGAATCAAAAGATTTTCAAGCAAGGTAATTGAAAACAGTAAGCTGTTGCAATATAAATTATGCGACAGCAAATTAATTATCATGACAAATGCATTAGAATTTATTTCAATTATTATTTATTAAATAAATTAACTAGCGGTATATTTTTCGGAAGTAAAAGTATAATATGCACGCTATTTTTGTGTACATTTTAACGATTAAGTTTACTAATTTATCAAGTTTTGTTGTTATGTCTTAGTTTCTCAAATATTAAACAAATATAAATTAGATTATATCTCACTAGTTTTAAACTTACAAAACTACCGCACCGATTAGTCCTTTCATATGAACATTATCTTTTTTTTTTATTTCATACCTATTCGAAAAAGTGAAATGTACCTACATGAATTGTTATACCTATATGTATAACAATATCTCTTTTCATCTTACCTTTAAATGCGCTCGTCATAAAACAATTTTGTAGTGAATGCGCAGCATTTTGTAGTACTTTATCAAAGTAGTAACAATGTGCAATAACTTTATCAAGCTTCATGGTACTTATCTTATACTTATGTGCATAGATATCTATTTCACATATATAATGAGAAATTTATATTCTCATTATATATGTGAAATAGACACATTTACCGTGCTGTCTCTTGCAGCCCAGTCAAATACAGTTTGTCTTCTCGTACCTAGCAGTAAAATTAACTTTCGTTTTCAATACTTCTTATATAGTAATGGGTACAGTTTGTACTGTTATGTCATTTTGTACCTAAGAAACTTATGAGCTATTCAGTTTGGTGAATAATAAGTAGATAGATGTTCTAGAGAAATAGTTTGTTGTTAATCACTAAGTGGTTATGATTCGTACCATGGAGTTCGGTCAATTTTCTTAAATCTAAATTCTACAAAATAATAACACTTTATTTTTAGTGGATAATACGAGTATGACGTCCCAGTAATAAACTAAGTAGGTGTAACTGTAAGGATTACAAGATGACTACGGATCCATAAAGAATCCCTTATGAAATCTGTCCAACACCTGTTCGTGTGTTACTCCAGTGAGTAAATACATAAGTAAAGGATACTGTTTTGTAATATACTCATATTGACATTTAGTTTATTTATCTCTTATAAGTTAGAACGTACATAGCGTTATAACGTACATAACTGTCTCTTAGAAATTATATACTAAATAATATGAATTTAAAACATATTTAACTATTATCTATAAATATTTAAAAAACTCTGCATCAATTTTCCTTTGTGAATACTGAAGGATACATCTCGATTTATTTGTACCAAAGCTCAACGATCCCTTTGGGTGATCCTCAATAGAAAAGGGTTTGACCGTCTTCATCTAAACCCCTCATATGTTACAATTATTAGTTCTAAATAAAGTAAGTACTATAAAAAGAAAGTAAGTACATACAGTAAGTCAGGATTATATGGGTGCTACATATATATCGGCGATAATATTTTTAGATGGATTTTACAAGTATAGCAAAAATATTTGCTCGTAATTAAAAATATTATGAGCTTTATTTTCAATCGACTACCAAAAATAATCTTTTCAATTTGATAGCACTTTTTGTATGTATAAAATATAAATATACATATATATATATAAAATCTCTTTTTACGATATTTGATTGTGAAAATTGAATGTATTTCTGAATAGGCAAAAAAGTAAAAATAATATTTATTGCCCATCAGTATTGATAGCATTTCATTGCTCTATTTGAATTATTCCAATTTCTCTCCTCAGTCGTGTACAGCTTAATTACAACAGTTGCTCCCACATCTGCACAAGTAATGTTTTAAATAGTTAGGCAGTAACATGTTTTAAAAGAAGTATATTTTGAACAAGTATTTTAAAATTAGAATAGTGATAATATTTCTACACATATTTATATAGCTTTGGGACATATTATATATTTTAATGGTTATGTTATTATGATAAAAATGTGATACAAATTTAAAAAATATAGAAAATTTAATACTAGTAATAGTGTATTTTTGTAGAAAAATATGTTTGGAAAATGTATTATTATATTATCGATGTTGGCTTAGTATCTACATACACTAAATGAACGGTACTATTAGCATCCATCCACCAAAAATTTCTATAATACCTGATATGAACTTCATCTTTTAACCTTCAAGTTAATGATCTACTGGATATTATATAGAAATAGTACTTAAAAAGGAAACGGGTTAACGGTAAAATTTGTAGGAGTATGACGCGTTCAACCGACTCATACAATCTTGTACAAATAACCTCGATACCCAAGTATTCGGTAAAGAAAATAAACAATAACTTTTTTCAGAATGATGCGATATTAAACTCCTAAGGTGATAAAATTGGGTTAGGTTAATTTAATATCTGTCCGAAATGTCCTGGGGCTATACCTTTTGTGTGAATATTTACATATCAATTTAATAGTTATTTAATACCCAAATTCTGCCTACCTTGTGTGTTAATAAAGAACATTACAAATCTCCCTTATTGTAAAGTACCTATAAAATTATACTTGACCCCATTTATATAGCTATCCTTGTACTTACTGTGAAACCAAATTCCTGAATTCTCGTGATTAAGTATAACAATGGTGATTATTTATTTTTTCCAAATTGAGCTTTTTTACATTACCATAAGTCTTTATTTCAATTGCAATTGGATTGTACACAGTCCATGAATCCACCAGAATTAGAAGACGACGAAACTAAAGTAGGTAAGGTTTCCGGTAATTACAATTATAAAAACGACCGGCACCAAATAATCTTTGTAAGCTCACAAACTATTTAAACAATGTAAAGAGACCTCCGAAAAATGTATCTATTATGTAAAATGTGGTCTTTCTATTCTTCCCTTTCCCTTTGGATTCTTCAAGCGTATCATAAAAATGCACCGAGAGGTGCCAAATTAAAACATGAATATGAACACAGAATAACCTGTGTTCATATTCATGGACTATTATGGCCCAGCGAGCGCTCGTGGTGATGCAGGCACTTGTCGATAGCTAATATAGATTAAAATACACTGAAAAAATAACATATTACAAAGTAAGTATACATACAAGGGATTATATAAGGAGTCATAAAACAGGATGAACCATTCCAAACACAGTTTAGGTAATTGGCGTACTTTGCGATTCCATTATATTTCAGATAACTTAGAGTCCTATTAAAACCGGAAACAGCCGTCCATAAAGAGCGCAATTAATATTATTTATTGCTAGTTATTATTTTATTTTAATAACTATAATGTTTTTAATTGATTTCAATAAAATGTACTTAATACTAATAACGGATACTATCGTTTCATAAGTAAAAAACTTTTATCTAACTTGAGTAATGGTAAATATATTTTTACTAAACCCTTAACTTTGCTACTGTTGTTCCGATAAATTAGTGGGTACTTTCTAATGCCATTGCGTTGAAATGGCCCTTGTCTATCTTAGAGCTATGGTAATGTTAACAAAATGTTTGCGTAACTGATTAATGATTTCTATCGCAACGACTTCTGAACGACCGCAGCCGCCATTCCGATACGAAGATAAATTTGGTCAACGAGCACTGTGACTCCTTAATGTTGCTGAAACAGGACCGGATCGAATGACGTATCTCCTAATTGATTTAGTTTTTACTTTAATTATTCACTTTGGATCACACCAATTTTTTCCAACTAACGAATGAGAAATAAAATGATCCTTCCAAATAGGTATAGCTCAGTATAAAATAAATTTGAAGACTTTACATTTATGGGCTTAACGTTAAGGTTTATTAACCTTTCAATTCCCTAATTCTCAAAGGCATCGTAGAGCTCTTTAAATATACAAAACATTTTTGCATGAGCATACTCTTTTCCGTATAATATATATTATATCGATCAATAACATTACAATGTCATTTACTGCGAATATAAGTAGAAAATAAAATTATCGTTGAACTCTATCTACCCCGTAATTGAACTGGTATGAAAATATTATAGTTTCTTAGATAATGTTATATTATACATAAAAACATCATGAAATTATTATTTTTTTGTTTAATTGACGTCGTATAGGATAGTATTATTACAATACCTGCTTCGTATTGATCACATAATATTCTCATAGCACAAAAAAATCTTATAGCATTAATACAACACAACTGCCAGATCTTGTATATGAAAATGCAATTGTATATTGATGTAGTAAAGAAACGTCTATAAATATTTATTATTTGGTTTTATAATCAATTTATAGACTTGCAAATTTAAATTTTAAAAATGGTCGATTTGGATTCTGTTTCTTTACAGTCTTTTTGAGTGGTGCTGGGATACCTTGATACTCTTGATTGTAACTCTAGATGTGGTAGTCATATGCATTGTCAACTGGTAAAGTAAAAGTAATAATTAAATTAAAAAGAAAAAAAAAGCAGTATATACGATTTTCTATTATATATTTAAATAATTAATCATTTAAATTTTGTTACAGTACAAATGCAACCGCCTAGGTTCAGCATGCAGCCATCATCATCAAATAGTATAGTGAGAGAAGGTACCACAAAAATTTTGCAATGCTCAGCAATAGGTAAGAATATACCAATCCTTTTTTTGTTTATTCGTTTATTCAAAAAAACAATTACACTTACGATTGTTATATTCCGGTCCTGTAGGAATACCTCAACCAATGTATCGGTGGTTGAAAAATGGTGTGCCGCTTGGCGAATACTCTTCAGAATTATTTTATAAGATACACAATACCCAGCGGCAAGACGCTGGAGCGTACCAGTGTATTGCCAAGAACGATGTCGGTGCAATTTTCAGCGAAAAGAATAATATCGTCGTCGCCTGTAAGTAAAGTGCTTTTTGAATGACTCACTATTTATGTGACCAGGATAGCAAGCAAGTTGTCAATTTACTCGAAAATGGTAACGGTCGCCTATACACATGAACAGCAACATGGTATCTTAATATATATTGTCATGCTCGTGGGAACATTACGTAATTTACTGCGGGATATATGAATTACATCTTTAATTATTTGAAAATAGATATGTTACTTAAATAATTAAATAACACTATTTATAACCAGAACATATCTACACAATTTAATCTAAGTTTATGAAAAGCCTCAAGATGCATTGCATTTACGATTTTCGTATACGCTCACCATGCATTCAGCTTGGTAATTTTTATAATTAATTTGTAGTTACTTACGTTGTTTACAAAAAATATTATATCTTACTTGATATTATTTCGTTTTTTCTAATCTTTAAATTTGATACGCTATATTAGACTATATTTCTTTTTATTATGAACCCTAAACCATGATTTGTTATTATTAACTCATACCTCATTCTAATTTTGACTGTTGACCCGATCAGAATTTATCCAAGCTCTTCTCGCTGTTATGTAAATATTAAAAAAAAATTACAACATAATTATAAACTGTTGTTTTTACTCTATGTATATAAATAAAAAATGCAATTCATAATATAGATATGGGCGTCTTCGAAAATGCTTCTGAGCAAGTTGTGACTGCCGAATCAGGGAGGGCTGTTATTTTAGAATTTCCCCACATAGAGTCGGAACCTTCACCCTCAGTGATTTGGCAGGATGAAAATGGAGCTTTGCGATATGACCAAAAATACGCAATCACTGACAAACATCAATTAGTTATACTGTCCGCTTCGCAGGAAGATGAACGAGCCTATAGGTAAATATTATTGCGTCTTTATTTATTCTTCTTTTACAATTTATGTAGTGAATTGAAATATATAAATAATTGCAAATTATTTCAGGGTAAGAGCCATAAATACTCAACTAGGTAAAGAAGAAAACAGCCCTTACATTACTTTAAACATCTTTGGAGATGACACTAGGGATGTCCCTCCTGAAATCATTATAAAACCACAGAACACTAAAATAACGAAAGGTCAAGAATATACTAACTTATATTGCGTAGCTAACGCCAAGCCCCTTCATGAGCTAGAAACTTTGTGGTTTAAAGATGGAGTTATGATTGATTTAGCCGGAATCACCTTTGATTTAAATGACCAATGGAATAGAACGCTTAGTCTTATATCTGCTAATTTGACTCACACTGGCCAGTACACGTGCCAAGCGCGACTAAAGTCTGGAGGATTTGCCACTGTATCAGCCTCGGCAACTGTTACAGTATACGAAAAACCTGTTTTCTTAACAAATTTAAAATCCGAGACTTTTGGAGAATTTGGTAGCACAATAACATTGGAATGCAATGTTCAAGGCATTCCTATACCGGGCATAACTTGGTATAAAGATGCTAAGAAGATAGCAAGTGTAGGCGCTGAAGCTGGCGATACTGATAATAGTGATGTTGATGATGGAGGTGGCAGATATAGGGTACAACTTGATCGATCTCTCATTATCAAAGACCTGAGAATGGAAGACATGGGAATATACCAGTGTGTTGCCAACAACGAAGCAGGAGAATCATCTATTTATACATGGTTAAAAATTAAAAGTAAGTTCTATCCTTTATGTTATTGTTTTATGTGTATGTTATTATTACAAATCATAACTAGTATGAACAATGAACAATATAACAAATTAAAACTCAATAGTGGTACAAAATGTAGAAATAAAGTTACTTTCGAATAGAGAGTAAACATACACATACACACAATGAAATACCATTGAATCGACTATTTTGGTGTCAGAAAAATGTAACATTGCTTTTATCCTTAAAAAACGTAAAGTGCTTAATATCAGCTTAGGTGATATAATTCCTTGAACAACTATTAAAAGATTTAATGAAATTTTCCTATATTAACGGAGACATCGAATTCACGCGAGCGAAATCGTGATAAATAAACAGTTAGTACCTATAGCTAACTGTAATAATCGTAACGACAAAAATAATTTAAATGTTATTTATTAAAAAATCTGTCTGTGTACAATTACTAATTATCTTAGCAACGTTGGTTATATTGAGAAGTTCTCTAAAACTAAACGTCCTAGCCACTGTTAAATTATAAGTATAGGGCGTTTTTTGAATCTCAAAGATATCTGCCAACATATCTTACAACACTATTTATAATTTGGGTTAAACATTCCTAATTTACAGTACTTATTACAAATGTACACTCGTTTATGGTTAGTAAATTTACTTACTTAGCTCTATTTGGTGAAGAAAGTAAACACGCGAGAAATTAATAATATATTAATATTGACAACTGTCGTACAGCAAAGGAAACTAGACGACTTCCACGCAGTCACATGAAATTAATAAGAATGAGGACTACAGATAAAAAAGCAAAAACATTCAAATTTGATACAGGCAGTAAGCAAATAGTTATCGTTTTTGCACAATATAGCGATTTTAAATTTTTATAGCACAGAGTGATTGCAAATTATTGCTTCTTTGCAACTTTTATTTACCTTGGTACAGGTCCGATTGTGTTTTTTATGGTTTATTTATATACTGTATCAGTCTTTTTGTAGTTTACATGCTATATTAGGCACACAAGCAAATAAATATTTAAATATTAATTTGTTCTTTTTATTATTACTACTGTTATTTAGTCCTAGAACAATTTGTTAATATTGCATGTTATATTTAGTATCTTGTGTTTTTGCATAGATAGATAATTATAATAAATTCAACGAGATTAATACTTTTATGTAAAATATATTACAGCAACTAGGATTCAATTGTTAAGTAGGACTCGCTATCTCCGTAATTTGTAACATAAGAAACACCCAATGGCAAACAAGTCTTATCACCTTCGGCACACAAAGAAGGCTTATCCTTAAATGTGACCTGTTTCTGACGAGACTAGAACTACTTCAGTCAACAAGAAACTCTTATTACACAACGGTAAAGCTGTATTAAGGAAATGATTAGATCGCCTCACACAAAATCAAAGTTTGTGTTGTTATATCGTAATATTAGCTTTATTTTATTTAATGAAGTACTACTAAGTAATATGTTGCAAGTAATTATTTGGTATTATGAATTTATAATATATGCTACTAGTGTATCTAAAGGATATAAGAACTAAACTACACATCCTTTGTAGATATTTCTTATTAGATATACGGGATTCTGGGCTGATAATCGGTTCACAGTTAAACAGTTCATTATTAAAATACGAACAATTTTTTTTTTATGAAAATAGAATATATTTATTACAAAAGTAAATGGTATTTTTTAAAAGTAACAAAATATACATAAATTGTACTAACATGTGAAATCGAACTATAAACATTGTTATAAGAAAGTTTCTATGATATTATTTACAGTCTGAATCCACAAGTACGAGCTATCAGAACATTTGCTAATTACATCAGGTTGGATCTGTAAAATTAAACGGGACATTGTGGAAATTACTAAGCTTTATTGAAATTTATCGCTCTCCATAGCTCAATATTTAAAAATTTTACTTCTTTATCTTATTATATTATCAAGATCGATATATAATGACGTTATCTAAAACGATATAATAAAATTGTTATTTTCTATCTTTACTTATCGAGTCGTGAGATATAATATATACTTAATATATTCCTTCCAACTGAATATTTCAGTTCCACACAAATATTCTTACTATTAACAATATTAATCTGACATACAATTTGTATATGTATTTGTCAAATGACATCAAAATTAGTGCACGGATGGTCATTAAAGCCTAAGGGTGATTATTTCAAGGGATTTATAGAGCGCGGCATCATTAATACAAAGCAAGTTTTAATGATGTTACACTCTAAATAATAATCACCTGATCAGGTTATCTTGTTTTGTTAATTCAAAACCACTTTTATTACTATTCTATTATTTCGTAGTTAATTAAATATTTCATGAGTTTTCCTTTATTACGCTTCAATAAAACTTATTTTCTATAAATATTTATACATTATTATTATTGTACGACACGTCACACATGAGAAAGCTCTTACTACGCTTAACATACATTAATACATGATTATTTCATTACCTACCTTTATTTCAGCAATATATTAACTAAAAATATACAGGCCAAGGACGTGTCGAAAACACATTAGGCTTTCATAACTATACTTTAAGGTTTTAGGAAGATTGTCGATATAATACGTCCAAAATTATACCTAGTTATGTTTGTTTTTTTTTTCTAAAACTAACATACTCGTGTATAATGATACGGACACTCAATGGCCCGTATGACTGTAAGAGATGACTAATGAAAAAAGTTTAACTGTATGTAGAAAAGATAAAAGAAAAGATTTGAACGAAATTATAAATAGAGCAAGGAAAAATTATATTAGTCACACAGCTGCGGAATAAAAATTTCTTAGACTTATTATTCGACATAATAATTAAACATTACAACACCCTACCTAGCTACCCTTCCCCACTTCCCTTAGCGAACTTGAGAACATTAAATAGGTAGTTTATAGAAAACATTAATTTTATATAGCCACTGTCAAGTCTTTTTAACCTATCGTCTCGATATAATATGGATATGAAAATACGTGTACATGAGATCAAAACTACAGGTACTATAGTTCTTCAATCAGGTTTATTATTTGAAATTATAACTGCCGCACACCAAAACAGCTATTGCACTATAACTTAACTTGCATGTTTTTTTTGTAATGTGTGTACTAACTAATATATTATCTACGTATTATAAATTACAAAACGCTGCTAGTGTAGATCATGTACTAACCGTAATGTGTGGCTGTAGCGTCCCCGCCAGTAATGCAGAGCCCCCCAGCCAATCTGACTGTACTCGATGGAAAGGACGCCACTATCGCCTGTAGGGCCATCGGCGCACCGACTCCCAACGTCACCTGGTACTTTAATGGTGAGTAGCCTCTCCCCTGCACATCGTACACAAATATTAACAAAAAATATTTTTTATCTATTTGTAATATCTCCATATATTTAGGCCATGTTGTAAATTATGCTTATAGATTGAAATCGTTGAATTAATCTAATCCTATAGTAAATCTTTAACGTTCTAGAAGAATTTATGTACAAATATACTGCCATGTATATGATGTAGATAACCTAAGTGTTGTTGTGGTTTCACCAACTGCCTCATATTCCAATTGAATCTCCTCAAAACACGAACATCTGTTTGTATTAGTCTGTCTATTTTTGTACACTATTATATGTCATGAGTATAGTTACTTCCTTAAACCTAAATGAGTTAGAAGCTTCCTCGTGGAGCTGTCACAGTTATTTTATTCAAATAACATTCTATCGCATGCAGTGCCTACATTAATATAATGTGCACATATGCAACTGATTGTCACTTAGTTTGTATCAATAATATTATTTTTTTACAACTTGTCCGAACGTATTTTAAGACTAATAGTTAACTACGCTAGAAGAGTTTATCCGTTGACAGTTAACTTCATAATATTTTAGTCACGCAACAATAATAAATCAATGGTCTTTAACTGCCAGGTTGAGTGGTGACGTCCGTATTGATAGTATTATATTCAATCAATGCACGTAACTTTTCTTCATTACTTCATTTGTCAATACATTGTAGACATACTTTTAATTATTAAAAATAATTAGGGGTGCTGAGTATCCATCCGATACGTATTATATCATTCATCGTTTAATAAGTGCCAATTTTAAACATAGATAGGAATTCAAATACACAAGAAACAAGAACTTGTTCTCAGTGCTATTCACTTCAGCAGCGGGTAACGATTTAATACGAGATCCAATAATAGTCTGTACAAGTAGAATTTAGAATCGTTATATATTATTATAGTGTATATGTGGGATCTTTATCACTATCAGAAACATATCAAGTTATTTATATATGATAAGATAAGAATTCTACATTCAGTTATATTGTATATATCATAGCTGTATTAAGATATGGAATACATCTGTTTATTTACAGATTCACTTATTATAAACTTATCGGGTAGACTACAAACATTGGACGAAGGAGACCTATTAATTACAGGGACTACAATAGTCGACAGCGGAAAATATACTTGCCTTCGGTCTAACGACGCCGGTAACGTTTCTGGAGAAGCTTACCTCACGGTTCTAGGTAAGTTTTGTAACATTAAAATTAAGTAGCACAGAGTGTTACTGTATTTTTATTACAACGTTTAAATTTAATAAACCACAAGCTAGCCGCACATTTAATATAGAGTTATTTAAGACTTTCTGGCAAACTGATTAATTATGAGCGACTTTCCTTATTACCTTATATACCATGTTTTTTTTAAAGGACATGTTGTTTTAATACATTTTTTTTTCATATTTGCAATTTTTGTCCTTGAAATTATTGTTCAACTATTTTTGCTTTTAGGTATGTATACATATTAGACATAACAGTACTGACTATTAAAAAATATGTTTATATTTCTGGTACATATGTTTGTAAGTGAATACAATTTTTAGCAAATCAATTCCATTAATGTTTTGATTTCTTTGTTTTGGTGGGATTGATCGCCGGCAATATACTTAGTTTGTAACCTATGACCATTGGGTATAATGTATAAATAGTTTTCTTATATCTTCATTACATTTACTGGACAATCTTAAACAGATGTAAACAACATGTCGGTATAACTATTTAAAATATTTGTAATAATTTAATGCGTATATTTTACAGTAAGAACACAAATAATAGCTCCGCCGGTTGACACGCGGGTTTTACTGGGTCATACAGCAACGTTACAATGCAAGGTTTCAAATGACCCGAACGTTAAATACAATATCGATTGGTTTCACAACAAACAGTAAGTATATATTTTTGAATAATTCATATTACACTAAAACATTGTTTGAAATCTATATTGTATATTCCCATAACATAAAATGAACAACGCTCTTGTAATCACTCGCTGTTACTACTGGATACATGAAAAGAAAGTTATGCCCGCAAAGTTTTGACATTCTTATTTTTTATGTTGAACCAAAAATAAAATTGTATATTTACGACGTAGTAAAATGTTATTGAAATTACTAAGCACGGAGTTGATTTTACTCGAGATTACTTTCTTAAACTATATGATGTATCTACAAATAATTTCAATTTTATTAGACCCATGACGGTCGGATCGCGGGTATGGGTTGCGGCAGATGGTGCGCTCCAAGTTCAGGCTGTACGCGCCAGTGACGCGGGCGAGTACACTTGTATCGTGACGTCACCGGGCGGTAACCACACACGTCACGCTGTCCTGTCTGTCATCGAGCTTCCGTTTGCTCCCACCAATGCTCGCGCTACTAAACTCGAAGAAGCTTCACAAAGAGCCGTTAACATCTCATGGACACCGGGCTTCGATGGAAACTCACCTATTCAGAAATTCATAATCCAAAAACGAATTGTACCCGAATTTGGTCTGTATAATGCCAATTATGTCTATTTTTTTAGTTATAAAAGCAAACTGAAATTTGTCACGGCCACTTTTATCACTAGGTCCTACGCCGGATCCGCTATTGAATTGGGTAACAGAGCCACTGAATGTGTCTGCAAATCTGCGCTGGGTTCTATTGACCAATCTGAAAGCAGCTACATCGTACCAGTTTCGAGTGTCAGCAGTAAACACTGTCGGAGAAGGACCTGCCTCCGACGCTACCGACGTTCTAACACTGCCCCAAGAAGGTATATTTCAACAGAAATATTAATAATATGCTAATGAAAATATTTCGCTACATAGTAAATAATATGCTTTTAATCGGCACAATAATAAAAACTCGTATGACATCTATTTATTCGTATTCACATTGCAGCAAGGATGTAATACTAAATACAAGTTCGTAATCCAGCCATAAGTGTTTGATAGGAAATTTCTTACTACTCTATATGGTAGTTAACTTGCACTACTACATGGTTACATATATCATCAGCACTTCATGTCTCAACGAACCTATGTATTATTAAGCTTCGATATTTGTCTACTTTAGAATATTCTCAACGAATAGTTTAGTGGTGAAATAACATGTACTAAAAAATGTCACCACCACAGTGAATGACTTGTCGTTTAAGTTTGGGTATTACAATGTGAGTTATATGGTACGTTTTACAATAGCAAGTTAAACTACCCTAGAACTTTGTAGAGACAAGTAAGCTATTGGTTAATATAACTTGTTATTTATAAAATGCAGTCATAAAACAAACTCCTTTAAGTCTAAATTTTAATAAGTTGTTTGTGTGTTGTTTGAGTGTTGTGGTTGTAATAAGATACTTGTAGTGGTTAAATTTCTTTTATTTTTAGATATCGTTATTGTTATTAATTGTATAACACCATTTTCGAAGTTTTGATATTAACATAGGTGTCGTTTGAATTATGTAGTAGTTTAACGCTAGTCATTGTAAACACTAACCGAGCAGGTAAAGTTAGGCAAGCATTTCACTACAATAACTGTGTTTCTTTGTGATCTAGCAGCCAGCGATATAATATGCTGCCAAGGTATGATTTACACTGTACAAGTAGATGGCTTGTATCGTTATCATTTATATTTATTTTATAGCGTGTCCAATCTCTTAATAGTTTTTATTAACAGTTTTATTTTTTATTTCTGTGCATGAATCGATTTATTTTTTCTACAAGATAACAGTTTCGTTTGTGGTAGCCATTCTGATGTACAAATTTTTATTCACAATAAAATATAAAGAATATTAATATTTAACCATTTTAACACCCGGCTATAAATAATGTCTAATAAAAATGAAAGTTTAATAATAACTTTCGTATTAACTTCGTATTTAAGTTGTCTTGGTTAATGAAGACCTACTAGAGTTCATATGAATGCATCAGAATGAGTTACATTTTTTTTTTATAAATGTGTTAGTGAACATACCTATTTATGATTGTGGGTGTAATAATCAAAATATTTTAATGTTTATGTGTGTAATAGTGATTGTCGCTAAACGTTTATGGACGTGTACATTACTAAGTATGTCTTTACTTCGGTAAAGTACTGGAATATATAAAACTGACTGCCTTACTTGATCTTGTTATTATGATCGAAAAATAATCTAACCGAAAAATACATATGCATGCATGTAATACATGTACATAAAGTACACATCCAAATGAATTAGGGAAACATGTAAGGACTTATAAATAATTACTGGGCGAAATTAACTTATATGACTTTAATGTTAATTCAAGTTTAAATTTGGCACGAAGTAACTGCGCATGCGTGTTCCAGTGCGGTTGGTTTTTCTATAAATATTAATCACGCATATTTATGTTGATCTTAGTACGCTCTGTTTCTAATGAAAATTATGAATTTTCTGGTTTGAGTAATTATACTGGGTATACTTTATTAATTTTGTTTTCAAATAGTTTTCTACAACAAATAAGCGCCCTTACGATAGCTACATGTGCGCATTCACCGATGTGTGCACACTATGTATTATTTCCATTCACACAATGATATATGGCATTTTTTTTATATATAAAAGAATGTAAATAAGTCCGCTTCCTTTGTGCCATACTATATGTAGAAATAGAAGTGTAAAAATCTGGAATATTTTTTTCTCTATTTTTGTATTGTATCATATTTTTAGTGTACCTCTCCATGTCGTATGGTTACTCTTATGAGCTGAATGTGGTGATATGATGTCTATAAATATTTTATTTAGAATTACTTTTATACCGTTCTGAACAATCTGACATTTTCTTTGCAACTTTTATATTGATTGACAATATAAAATGTTTTGCAGCACCTTCAGGTCCGCCAGTGGGTTTTATGGGATCAGCACGATCCTCATCCGAGATAATAACGCAATGGCAACCACCACTCGAAGAGCACCGTAATGGGCACATACTGGGGTACGTAATCAGATACAGACTCCGCGGCTACGATAACAGCCCATGGACCTACCAGAATATTACAAATGAAGCACAAAGAAACTATCTAATACAAGACCTGATCACGTGGAAGGACTACAATGTGCAAATCGCAGCGTACAACGATAAAGGCGTAGGAGTCTTTTCAGACAGCTATACTATTAAGACCAAAGAAGGAATTCCCGAAGCCCCTCCAGATAATATCCGGTGCGATCCCTTTAACTCAACTGCTATAACTGTCTGGTGGACACCACCTAACCCTCAGAAAATCAACGGCATCAATCAGGTACATTTATAAGATATCAAATATTTATAAGAATTAAATCTCTTAGTTCAGTCGATTTTCAGATCACGTCTGTTTTATTATCTTTTTATATGGTATGAAAAATAAATTATGATTTCGAACATCATTTTATGGTCTGTAATGTATAGCGTAACTGTAGTAATGTCCTATCGTTTTATTGCAATATTTATTGCTGTAGTGTGTCCAACTAATGATTAATTTATTTACTTGTTATTGATGAATGCTTCACCGGGGTAACAATATTTGAGCAATATTTAATTGCTTAGATAAATCGTATATTTTTCTTAATACATAGAGCAAATAGCTCTAATCAAGATGCTATTGATTGTATTCACAATCGTTGCAGTAATAACGTAATATTATTATACAATGCGTAATGTTTTACTTTCATTGTTGTTGTTAAAATATGTGTCATCGCCTACTTTCTAATAAAAATAAATTTATATGTATACTAAAATTTCAAACTCACAAAATTAGTCAGTTCAAGCAGTAATAGAAAATTAGAATTATTTTACTTCGCTAACATTAAAATTGTAATGTTTGAAAAATATATAATCTTCCGCTTATCTATATATGTATATGAATTTTTTTGTACGTTCTAGGACATAAGGTACTTTTTATCGTGTAAATGAAACGTGAAGTGGGTATAGAAAGAAAGTTTGTATGGGGAATCAACCATTATTTATCAAGGGATATAGAAGTTATACTTGTACATTAAGGGAGAAAAAGACAATATTTCTGCCTTATGGACTAATTTAAGTGGTTCGGAGATATACTAATTCTAAACAGCCTTAGGCATGTATTGATGTGGTTGTTTTTTGTTACAGGGTTATAAAATTCAAGCATGGCGCTGGAATGAGGACGAAAATATTGATGAAGAACAGAAGCTTGTAAGCATTCCTCCAAATCTACTGGATCCTCTTACCGAACAGTCCGCTATCATAAGTGGCCTAGAAAAGTTCGCTAACTACAATATATCGGTACTATGTTTCACTGAGCCAGGCGATGGACCCCGTACTGATTTCGTTTTAGTCAGAACCAAAGAAGACAGTAAGTATACGTATAAATTGATAGTAGTAGATAGTAGATAATATACATATTACTTTCACAACTGTTATCTCATTTTTTATAAGCATAGTACCCTTTACTCTTGTTACTGACAATTATGCTATAATTATACGTTTAATTCACTGTTTATATTTCTTAATAGATAGTTCTATTATTTTATAATATCTACACATATTATAAAATAATAATAGTACTACTAATACTACTATCTAATACTATCATTACACTTAGTTTATAATATCTTTCAATATTTTATAGTAAAACTATAGCTAGAAATTTTAATATAATAAACTAATAATGTTTTTTATAATACTGTTTGATTAAATCCCCCGATCGAAAGGATCATCTCGCCTGTTTATTTGTATAGAAGGCATAGTTACTACTTATAAATAATAATTGGTCGTAATATGGATTATTTCTGCAATTATATGCCTGTTATATGAAATTTATTATGTACAGTACCCGATGAAGTGGGCAGTCTACAATTCGATGACATATCAGATCGAGCAGTTCGCGTCGCATGGAGCCCACCAAAAAAATCAAATGGAATTCTAATTGGTTATAAACTGACTTATCAAATAATAGATGACGAGAATTCTTTTAGAGAAGAGGTTCTACCGCCTAATGTCACCAGTATAAAAATCGAACACTTACAGGTAATACAACTTGTTTCCTATGTCTTGACTATTAATTTGTTACTTGGAAATTCACACGCAGTAAAAAAAGACAATGCATTTCCGAGTATGAGTATATAAGCATTAACAGTAGTTATAGCAGAACCTAAGATTATGGTATTGACTCAGTCTTCTTACTTTATGTTTAAGTATTTGGGCCGAAATATGTATACAGTTTTCATGGTTTTCGTAATCAATCTATCTTCAGATCACAAACACTTAAACTGTAGGTACAACATTAAAAATTATAAATAATACCTTTATTATACACGTTGTTATATAATACATGTATCAAGTTTTTTTATTTCTACTTGGAAACGTGAGAGGAAGTTTACGTGCCTCAATCTATGATCACTAACTCACATCTCAAATATCATTAAATAATCAGTAGATAAATTCCGAAATGCAATGCCTATATCGATTTCATAATGTTCTTTTTAAACGTAATCATGACTAACCGATGCTTATTAATAAATCAATAACATTGTCAGTTAATCCTTTCAATGAAAAAGAAAGGTGACATTAATACGGTGCTAGCGTATAATTCAACAATATAAAAAACGCAAAACAACGCAATTCAAGTGCATTGAATAGAATTAGCTTTCCAGTGTATACCGACAGGCAATTCGTGAGTTCTATGATGGTCGTATAGAGCCAATATGAAATGTTTAATATTCGTCGCGGGTACATTGCAGGCCAGTACGCACTACAGACTATCGCTGCGTGCGCTGACTGCTGTGGGCGAAGGCGCTGCACGCACGGCCACCATCCAGTCGGGCGTGGAGCCAGTGCTGCCTCACGCACCACGGAACCTCGCGCTCTCCAATATTGAGGCGTTTTCGGTGCTGCTGCAGTTCACGCCTGGCTTTGACGGCAACTCATCTATATCGTTATGGACTGTTCAGGTAACGCCCAATATACGACTACTAGAATACAGAGTATGTACCGTTTATTAATAACGTTTATATTTACATTCGTGGGAATCAATCAATAAATAAAAGTATCAAAAACCAATTCAAATCTGTTACCTTCAATAGTCTATGGTAATCTAGAGATAATGCTTAATAAAATTGTAATAAAAGCTGTTAAAAAGTCAACTGAACACGATAAATTTGTTTTTTAAGATATAGTTTACATTGTTAAACTATATTCAACCTATAGGTCAAACATGAACAGACTTAAAATATACATAGGAAACTAGAGAAGTGTGTAATGCTATTGTTATATAACATTGTAATGTTTAGGCGCAAACAGCCCGCAATTCATCATGGGTGACGATATACGAGGTGAACGCACCAGACGTGCAGTCGATCCTGGTGAGTGGACTGGTGCCGTTCACTACATACCGTCTTCGGCTGATCGCGACGAACGTTGTGGGTTCGTCGCAGCCGTCCGAGCCGTGCAAAGAGTTCCAGACTATCCAGGCGCCGCCCGCACACCCGCCGCGTAACGTCACCGTGCGCGCCGTCAGCGCCCACAATCTGCGCGTCCGCTGGATCGTAAGTCAACTCTTGCTTACATACATACTATGTAAATCTACATGCACTTCAATATTTTCTTACAGAGACGTTAGCTATTCGCTAGATGTAGCGAACCGTATCACCGGTTTAAACCTACTACAAATATTCCTATTTCTTAATTTCTTAATAATTTATAGTCAGCTTATTATATATTAGAAAAATAATTGATCTTTGAATATAAATTTAATAATAACTTTTCGTAATTAAAGTATAACACTGCTTGACACCGAATGTTCAGCTTATTCAGAATATTTTGATGGTATAATATCCTTATTCCTTTATTTTACAGCCACTGCAACAAAGTGAATGGTATGGTAATCCAAAAGGTTATAATATCACATACAAACGGAGTGGTACCAATGAAACATTATTTATCATCATCGACGATCACACTGCCAACTCGCACGTTCTCTCAGAGCTCGAGGAGTGGTCCTTGTACGAAATTCAAATGACGGCTATTAACGAGGTCGGCACGTCAGCAGAGAGTCCTATAGCTACAGAAAGAACGAGAGAAGCTGGTAAGTATTTAATTTTTCTATAAGTAATTTATTCTTTTTAAAAACAAATAAAGATACTATTTGTTAAGGTATTAATAAAAAAAGCGATATGGTATAACAATACAACATACTTTGTGAATGCAATTCAGTAAAGAAGAAACAAGTGCCGAACAAATACATCGTGTGTCATTGTTATCTATAAATTGTGTCTTCATGAAATTTGTCAAAAAAAATATATAGTATTTTGTTTAATTCAATAATGCATATTAACTTTCCAGTGCCATCCAGTGGTCCCATAGATGTGTCAGCAAATGCCACATCATCCACAACTGTTGTAGTCCTTTGGGGTGACATACCAGTACAAGATCAAAATGGTTTAATTGAGGGTTACAAAGTGTGCTATGCAGCGATTGTCCCTCCACCACGACCTGAGCAGCAGAAGGTAGAATGCCAAGCTATACCTTCTAATCAAACGCACACCGTAACATTGACGGAACTTAGAAAATATGTTGTTTATCAAATACAAGTATTAGGATATACAAGATTGGGAGAGGGTGCATTGAGTGATCCGCCTGTCACCGTAAGGACTTTTGACGATAGTACGTATGATGGAACATACCTATTTATTTTTTACTTTTCCTTTTTATTTTTATTAATTTTTATAATTAACATTATAGCTCCTGGGCCACCGTCAAACGTATCATTCCCTGACGTGACGTTTACAACTGCTCGTATAATTTGGGATGTACCTGAAGACCCCAATGGCGAAATATTAGCATATAAAGTGACGTATCACCTCAATAATACATCTCAGCACACATTCTCTAGAGAGTTCCTGCCGTCGGATCGAACATTCCGGTGAGTACACATGTATTGATAGTAAAATGAATAAATATATATATTTTGAAAATACATACATTGTATATTTTGTCATCTTAAAAAAATATTGAGTTCTTCTTATTGATTTTTATTTGTATATATATATATATTTATCTAGTAAAATACATATACATTAACAGTGAGTAATATGGGTCATATTACATATGTTGTAATAATTAAATGTAACAACTACAACAGTTGTACTTTAGCACAGCGGGGGAGTGGAGCTCTAATATATTGTAGTCTTTAAATGGTTTCTTTTCTTTCTCGATCCTTAATCGTCTGGCTCATAATCTCCTCCTGATTTTGAGGTACAGAAATGTAAATGTAATGTGATCATAAATCTGATCGGGACAATTTGACCCGATATCACCCTTATCCTAACTCCACTGTCGCCTCGCTGTACTAGAAAATAAGTAGGATAATAAAGGTATGGTTGGTGGTCAGGGCGACGGAGCTGTCGTCGGAGCGATATTACCAGTTCGCTGTGCGAGCACGAACGCGGCTGGGGTGGGGCGCGACTGCACGCGTGTTGGTGCTGACGACGGCGAACCGCGCCGCGCCCGCCCCTCCTGCGAGGCCCCACGTCGCACGATCGCTGCTGCAGCCGCACCACATCACCTTCTCCTGGACACCCGGCGACGACGGATACGCGCCGCTCAGGTTACAATGCACACATACCACTACTAATCTAATCACACGAGGCCTTCTTTAAACAATTCTTTAAACGATGCCTTCTTTAAACGACCTCTGTGGTCTAGCGGTCTAGCACTAGCGCTTTATGTCCGATGGTCGCGGGTTCGGTTCCTCGCACGGCACAAACATTTGTATTCATGAGTATGATTGTTTGTATCGGTCTGAGTATTTTCTATGTATAATATGTATGTATTACGAAACAAAAAAAAATTGTCTACGTATTTGTATCAGTTGTCTAGTACCCATAACACATGCTTTAGCTAGCTTAACTTGGGTTTAGATGGCTCTGTGTGAATTGTCCTGAGATTATTATTATTATTATTATTAATTACTCATTCATTTTACTAGCTCGATGAGTTAATTCTTCTGAAATTCACAACTCTCCAATACAATAATGATGGTAATAATAACACAAGACAAGAAAACTGTTATGTATTATTGGTGATAGTAGATAATATATTTTTTCTGTACACCGTTACTTGTAGTACTTTGTATCGGCCATTAATAAATCTCATTCCGCAGTCTTCATCTGTCTTTCATTGGATACATTACAAAAACATTAATAATAATAATAATAATAATTAGATATACAAAAACCACTTTACATCACCCTTCAAAAAGCTGCCATCTTAAATACTTGCCGTACAGTCCGAAAATTTCTCGAAATCGATGAAAATTATATAACACCAGTCACACCAGGCACACAATAAGTACACACACACTCACACATACATACACGCGCACACACACATACACAAACTCTGCAATTACTTGGTTTCGGCCCGTAAGTGTGAAGAAACCAGCAATAGCTGTGAAAAAATAAAGAATAACAATAAAAATAATATATTTATTTTTTGACACTATTTATATTATTACACTGTGATATATATTTGGTCAAAATATGTAATCTGCTTAGTTAAAGCTTTATTCGAAATTACGTATTCAAAATGCCACGTGCCTTGCGACGTAACTTGTAGCCAGATATTTGCCAATGAAAAACATCAAAATGTGTGTTGTAATGATTGGTTTTAATTAATTATGACATGCTCTCCAGATATTACACTGTACAACAAAAAGAAGAAGGAGGAACATGGCAAACGATTCCGGAACGAGTAGACCCTTTTGCAACTTCGTACACGGCCGAGGGTCTCAAACCATATACTGCCTATCAGTTTAGGATAAGAGCAACGAACGACATCGGACCTAGCCGTTTCAGCAATGCCACTGAAACCATTCGTACTCTTCCCGCCGGTAAATATAATATTTAGACATATGTCATAATTTTATTTCATTTACGACACTTCTTTTAACTGCTGAGTGTTCGTGGGCAACCTCACTTCTCGCAACCTCATAGTCGGTGACTATGTCATTCGCCAGTTACTATAATGGGTACCACACCAGTAGATATCTGCGTTGCTAATGTAAATTTACGCATTATAATGATTATTTCGATGTTAAGCTCCCAGCAAAGCGGTGGAGAACCTGCACGTGGTGCCGATAACGCCGAGCAGCGTGCGCGTGCAGTGGAGCCCGCTGGGCGAGCCGCACTGGAGCGGCGACGCGCGCACCGGCGGCTACCGCGTGCTCTACCAGCCGCTCACAGACTTCGTGCCCGCGCTGCACCACACCATGAAGGTGGACGTGCCCGGCATCAAGGTACGCCGCGATATGACACACGATCACCTATATGCCATTCATTAGGGCTAATAAAAAAAATATTGTCTACTAAACACTGCCCAAACCGTGTCACACCACCTTATTCTTTTACTATTGTTATTTTTAGTACATAAGATCGATCATAAAGATAATTATAATATATTTCCAACTTAAGCATAATTCTTAACAATTCCTAAAATATACAGAGGTTTCTCTAAACTCGGTGTAAAATTGGATTACAAATTTCAATAAAAGAGTCATTATGGTTGACGCAGATTGGTGAGAATATTTCTCAATACACACCCTGATTATGTTGCGAATATCTATTAAAACATGTCAATTATTTAAACAATTTTAGTTCGGTAAACTATTTCTAACATTTAGTATAGTCAAAAAATTCTTACTGTCAAATACAATTACATCTATTCACATAATGAAAAACAATCATTGTAATCCAACGCGACACATCGAGGCAGTGTATCGACATAAGATACTGACAGCGTTGCCGCTTTGAATAGCCATACCTTCTGTGTAAAGTAGCTAACAGTTCTCGGGTCACAAGTAATCTCGATGAGACGCGCTGAAGCTTCTGGGGTTCATGGGCCCAACGTGTCCACAGATCGTACTGTCGATTGAGGATTGGAGTATACCGTAAGCGTTTAATGCACGTGCGCAGAGCGAGGAGGTGGTGCTGACGGAGCTGGCGGTGGACCGCAACTACGAGATCAGCGTGTGCGCGCTGAACTCGCAGGGCGGCGGGCCCGCGGGCACGCCGGCCGTGGTGTGGGTGGGCGAGGCCGTGCCCACCGCGCCGCCGGGCCACGTGCGCGCCGCCGCGCTCTCGCCCACCGAGGTCGCGCTCTCCTGGCAGCCGCCGCTCGCCGCGCACCAGAACGGAGACCTGCTCGGGTACAAGGTGAGCCTCCGCCCGTGCTCGGATACAGGGCGGGCCCGCGGCCGTGGTGTGGGTGGGCGAGGCCGTGCCCACCGCGCCGCCGGGCCACGTGCGCGCCGCCGCGCTCTCGCCCACCGAGGTCGCGCTCTCCTGGCAGCCGCCGCTCGCCGCGCACCAGAACGGAGACCTGCTCGGGTACAAGGTGAGCCTCCGCCCGTGCTCGGATACAGGGCGGGCCCGCGGCCGTGGTGTGGGTGGGCGAGGCCGTGCCCACCGCGCCGCCGGGCCACGTGCGCGCCGCCGCGCTCTCGCCCACCGAGGTCGCGCTCTCCTGGCAGCCGCCGCTCGCCGCGCACCAGAACGGAGACCTGCTCGGGTACAAGGTGAGCCTCCGCCCGTGCTCGGCTACCGGGCGGGCCCGCGGCCGTGGTGTGGGTGGGCGAGGCCGTGCCCACCGCGCCGCCGGGCCACGTGCGCGCCGCCGCGCTCTCGCCCACCGAGGTCGCGCTCTCCTGGCAGCCGCCGCTCGCCGCGCACCAGAACGGAGACCTGCTCGGGTACAAGGTGAGCCTCCGCCCGTGCTCGGATACAGGGCGGGCCCGCGGCCGTGGTGTGGGTGGGCGAGGCCGTGCCCACCGCGCCGCCGGGCCACGTGCGCGCCGCCGCGCTCTCGCCCACCGAGGTCGCGCTCTCCTGGCAGCCGCCGCTCGCCGCGCACCAGAACGGAGACCTGCTCGGGTACAAGGTGAGCCTCCGCCCGTGCTCGGATACAGGGCGGGCCCGCGGCCGTGGTGTGGGTGGGCGAGGCCGTGCCCACCGCGCCGTCCTATTAGGCCAATCCAATGTCACTAACATTGGCAATTTCTTTGTTTTTTTAATGATTTTCATGTGTCATCATCGTTCAGATTATAATTAATCTATTAATGTTTTTAGATATTCTATCTGATGACGGATTCGCCTGAAGAACCGGAACCCGGTAGGCGAGTTGAGGAAGAAACTGAAGTAGTCCCAGCGACAGCTACGTCACATTCACTAGTTTTTCTCGACAAATACACGCAATACCGTATTCAGGTAATTAATAAAAATCTTTGTTTGATAATTGTATATCTGTGTCACACATCTATGTGTCTGTAATATTTTTTTTTATTAAATATATTTAAACTTTAACTATATCATAAATTTTAACTGTTTTTGTTTCACGTATGTATATTATTTGATTAGGCAAAAATACATGACCAATAAAATAATATGTTTGAAAATTACAGGTACTTGCATTTAATCCTGCTGGAGATGGTCCTCGATCAAGTGCAATCTCAGTACGTACTCACCAGGGCCTGCCGTCGGCACCACGCAACATCACCTTCAACGACATAACGATGAATAGTCTGGTCGTGTCTTGGGAGGCGCCACAACGACGCAACGGACTGATACAGGCATATCTCGTCACATATGAAACGATAGAACAAGACGAACGTGAGTATCTATAAAATTAATAATATTACATGTTTCTATAAATACTATGAAAGTTTTATTACAATATATAAATACTTTTTGGTGTTACATTGTATTGTCTTCTTGTATACGATCACTACCAATAGTAAATTTATTCATTTCCTCTCCTTACCACATTACTAACACTGACTAAACTTTAATTCAATTATTCAAACATTGCTCTAAATTCTTTTATTCTACTTGTTGACTCTTAAAAATACGAAGCAATTACACATATTGGCAAATAACGTGAGTATGATATATTAGTGTATAGTGACAAATTGACATATTTAACTTGTACGTATTTACTTTCGTGGATTAATGTTAACAAATCTATTTATTACCATAAGACTAATGACAAATGAGGAGTACATAGTATATTGTACTAGTGTCAATAGATGTATATCTTTCAGGGTTCAGCAAGCAAGTGAAACAGAAGGTTACGGAGCGGCGGCTGGCCGTGGGCGGCCTGGAGGAGGAAGAGGAGTACACGTTCAGCGTGCGCGCCGCCACCGACGGCGCCGGCGCGGGCGCGCCCGCAGTCGCGCGCGTGCGCACCGGCCCGCAGGTACACTCGCATCCTAATTAACACTCGTGTGACAACTCCCTAATTACTATAGTAATAACTTATTCGTGTGGCAATATCACACGAGTATTGACTAGCAATGACAGCGATGTCTTAACGTAGAACATTCATAGTATCTTGTCGTAAATACGCACCTGTGGCAGCTCACTAATTAACTACCTATATATGTGTCGAAAAACCAGGATGGAGATGTGCAAAAATATGTTTAACATTTAAACTTTTTAAAATTATGAATATATTTTTCCACAAATTCAAACATATATGTAATGCTTTTAAAAGTATTGAACATATTTTGTTGCTTATTTTGTATTTCTCTTGTTTAGCTATTTTAGAGTATTGTCGAAGTATTTTTTTTAAATCCTACTATAATTCGTGGCTGTACACGATATTTCATTAACACGTTTATTTTAATTACCGACTCGGCATCGAATCTTGCATAAAAAGTAGAACGCCCTGCAATCTGTATATTGTGACCGGTTTGTCCTGCGGCAGGCCGGGTCGCCGTCCGCGCCGCGCCGGCTGCGGCTGGCGCCCGACCCCGCGGCGCTGCACCTCCGCTGGGAGAACGCCGCCTCCGGAAGGGGCCCGCTGCTCGGGTACTACATCGAGGCCAGGAAGAAGGGTACGCACGCACGCTCCGCTCTCTATCCTTCTCGCTATCCGGCTCCCTCCCACTTCTACATTTAACGGCCTCGCTGGTATAGCACACCGCTTTACTTCCGATGTTCCCAGAGTTCGATACCTCGCACGGGACAAGTATTTATTATATAGTATGTATGTATAGTATAGTATTATATAGTATGATATATATCGTACATATGTAATATATATTATGTATGTATTTATATCGGTTGTATAATACCCATGATACAAACTCTGCTTAGCTTGGGACTAAATATTAAAATAAATATTATTATTTACTCTGTTCCTATAGAACTTACAAGAATAAAAACGACACTTGCGCAGCCTACGACAAGCTAGTGATGCCAATAGCAATACGAATAATTGTATTAAATATTTTGAAGAACCTATTAAAGATTTCGATTTCTTTTACTACATTAATTATACACATTTCAACACACATATTGTACTAAAAAATGTCATGTCATGTCAGAGGTGCTTTTCAAATAATTTTCCTAATACTACTCATGCACTGAATCTGAACACTCCTGTCTGTTTTATAACCAGAATTTGTTATTATTCTTATTCTTATTAAAATTGTCATTTATAAATGCAGCAAAGGAATCGTGGCAAGCCTGTAAGTCTTCTATTTTTATTCAATATACAGCACCTATATTTTCCACTCTAAACTAAACTAACTGTTACAAAACATCAACTAGGTGAAAAATATATAAATCATATTGTAGTGGCTAGGTGTAGGTTCTGAAACCGATGTCTTAGTCATGTTGTGATGATAGTTGGTGTACCATTTAATGAATGTCGCCTATTGAATATCTAACGATCACTTGATGTTTGTCTAAACCGTAAAGAAAACTCTTATTCCACTCACATCTTTCTACTGCTAATTTATTTCTCATGAATACTACTTACTAATTTTATTTATTTTATATGTATGGTAATCTATAAGGTATTTATAATATGGGCTATTAGTGCCCTATTAAAAATTAAAAAAATATATTATTATATAAAAAAAATATTGTATACATTGTATTTTTTTTTACTCAGACGACACAAGGTGGGAAACAATAACGCGCACTAGCAACGGCATGTTGGAAGAATTTACGATATCATACCAGAGTCTTTTACCGTCAACAACTTACTCGTTCCGAGTGATCGCATACAACACGTACGGTATCAGCAACCCAACATACAGCGACAAGGTGATCGTGACGCCATCGAAATTGTACTTAGAGTACGGCTACCTGCAGTACCGCCCCTTCTACCGACGTACCTGGTTCATGGTTGCGCTAGCTGCGGCATCCATCATCATTATAATTATGGTGATAGCCATTTTATGCGTAAAAAGCAAGAGTTATAAATACAAAAGTAAGTAATCATTTAACAGTACATATTTCGTAGTATATGTGCCAATTCTAATTACGGCTAACAGTTTCCTCTATATGACATATCAGTAAACTTAGACAAGTAAATGACAGAGATAAATACTATTAAAATATATCAATATTTTCTATGTGATGGAGGAGTCAAGCCCCAAAAGACTTAATATAAGTTACACCTGAATATTTATACTAAAATAGGTGCTTACTTCTTAGTTTCTATTAATGAACATATTGCTATCGATACATACTTCACTTCTGTTTGGGAGGTTTAGTTTGATGGGAGGGAATACGTTCCTATACGTCACTAGTTGTTTAACAAATTCCTCTATATACCGTGGAATATTCGTGCCAATTTACTCATATATTTTTTAAAACAACTTTTACAAGTTTGTGACGATCTGTTATAATTGAGGTACCTGATTGTAAATAAACACTAATATACTTTCAGAAGAAGCACAGAAAACCCTAGAAGAATCGCTCGCGGGCGAGACCGACGAGCGGGGCTCGCTGGCGATGGATCTGTACCGATCGCGGCAGAACTCGATGGCCAGCACGGGCGCGCTGGGCGGCGGCGGCGGCGGAGCCACCCTGCGGCGTGGCAAGGCAGCCGCCACGCTCGCCAAGTCCCCGCCGCGCCCCTCGCCCGCATCCGTCGCCTACCACAGCGACGAGGAGAGCCTGCGCGGCTACGACGAGAACCCCGACGACTCCTCGCTCACAGAGAAGCCCTCCGAGATGAGCTCCTCCGACTCCCAGGTGATCACCATTAAAATAAGCGTCGTGTGAACTCTCACGTCGACGTCACTAAATACGGACCTTATTTTTTTCCCCGACTACCTTCGACCGGATACTGCGATGGTAAATATCTGAATTAAAAATCCGCATCTGCTAAGTTTTAATTTTAGTCACGCTTCCATCCCAATCGCGCACTCCTTGTAGTAGGTGCTGCATCGTTTACCGATTAACCATACGATAGAGTGATTGACCCGACACCGGCAATTCATAAACTCTAAGTCTTGTGGTTAAATTCTACTTAAAGGGAAATATGCATTTATTTTTTGTTATGCCCACTTGTACATATATAAGTTCAAGCTATCTTCGTTCTTTCGTAATGTGTATTGTATTAATTAGGTTTCTTATTTATTTCTATATTCTGTCGACTGAACTTATCGTAATAATACATGTATAAAGAATATATAATATTAATAGTAAAAGATATAGTAAATGCTTAACAAATCGAATACTAAAATGAATAATATTAAATAAGATTAAATTATTTAGTGCATGATCTATAAAATACTGAATGTTTCAAACCAAAAAGGCTAAACTAGTGTAAAGCATGATTAATATTTATTTACAGAATTCGGAAAGCGAAAATGAGAGCGTGAAATCAGAGCCACACTCTTTTGTAAATCATTACGCAAACGTAAATGACACACTGCGACAGTCATGGAAGCGACAGCGGCCGTTCCGGCAGTACTCGAGCTACACAGACTCTGAACCTGAGGGCAGCGCCGTGGTGAGCCTCAACGGCGGCCAGATCGTAATGAACAATATGGCGCGTTCGCGGGCGCCTCTTCCTGGATTCTCCTCGTTCGTATGACACGAGCCCTCCGCCGCGCCCGCGCGACTTATACTCCATATGTAATTCTCATTGCCCTTTCTTCTATTTATTTCGAATGTACATATCACTTGACAAGCTTTACGATTACGTAAAATATTAAGCTAGTTATAAATTAATAATATACATACATCTATAATTAAATAACGTAGTTAATCGTGTTTAGTTTTCAGAGTAACAGTTGATGTAAGCGTTACTATGACCAATGTTATTAGCTTCACGTTTTCAAATTTCAGATCTCGTTAATTATTTATATTAAGACATACTGTTAAGATAGTTCTCATAGCAACTCTTATGCATAGTATAAGATTAGTATACTATAAATTAAATTAGTGTTTTACCAAAACAAATTCAATAATAATATAAATATATAATATTATTTGTTTGTAATAATTAAAAAATGCGCTTATTTTACTTAGTACTTACAATGCGCATAATCAATATTCATTATCATTATTTTTTATATTTAAATAACATTGATCAGTACCCCCTTATTCTTACAAGGTATAGGTGCCACTTTCAAACGAAGTAAATAACTCCTAAGAAAAGGTGTAAGAACAGTTGAGTAGCTTTTATGTTTCATGAATAAGGGGGCAAGTGTTTGACTTGTTTTTTTAGTCTTCGATCATTAGTTTAAAGCTAGTGTTATTACAATTTTTGACGTTTTATTGTTAAAATATACAATTGACTGATAGTTATAGTAAAAATCCGATTTATAGATGTAAATAGATTTAACAATTACTACAATGCGGACACATGCCTTTATATCATAAATTTGGCACAATATATATAAAATTAAACTGTGATTGATCGTATTATGCTCTAATATTACGATAATTATGAATTATTACTATAAGAATCAAAATATTAATACACCGATTGTGTGTTCTTTTCTCACTTAGAGCAATTGAAGGCGTTATCGATGCAATGGGATCTGCAGTTCTTTGGGATGAGGACAACTACGTTCAAATCAAATCAATCAAATCGAAATCTCTTTATTTATGTAGGTAGACCTACAGACTCTTATGATATGTCAAATTTACCATTAGTTCCGAGTGCCTTCGAGCTAAGAAGAACTGCCAAGAAACTCCGCTCCTTTCTTTTCAAATGAGCTTGTACCTGTTTCAAATAATTGTTTTTGTTTTTTTTTTAATTGATAAAATGAAGTCAGATAAGACATCAGAGATTATGGAAATTTTAATCATGCATGATTTATATATATAAGGCATTCAGATAAAATAACAATCCCATAAGAGGCAACAACTGCGATAAATTATTTTTATAATTCTGTCAGTCATACATATGTTGCATGTAGATACTGGCCGGAATTACGCTAGATACGAACGCAAAAAATTCAATAGCGCCTTCTATTGTGAATACTGGGAAATTTCATCGTAATTAACAAATTCTCTTTCATTTGCATTGTAATGCAATATTTGCATTTACAATAATTATAGCACTATTGTTAATAATAGAATATTATGCCTTTAACTATAGAGGTGATTGGTTTATAGATTTCGTAGGTGTTACCTATTCTACATATGTACGTTCTACTATGTTGAACATGATGCAACACCTGAAATATTAATACTTTTTACTATAAGCTAATAGAATTTAATGAAATTTAATGTAATAGTTATAAATGATATCTTCTCATATCATTCATTTTCTTTTGATCTTCATAATTTGGTTTTAATTTAACTGCATACTGGGGTGACACCATGCTATAACGTACATTGTATAAAAACTTATAATGGTACATAAGTATAAACTCACCAAGTACTAGTGCCATTGAAATGTTAAACCAAATGAATCAGTCATTAACATTTTTACACAAATTTATCTTCTTTACAAGCTGCTTTATAGCTTTTATGTGTAAATAGATTCCGTTTGCTTTTTTATGTTTGCCATATTTAGGCATATCTTTTATCAAAATAACTGAAAAAAGTTATGAAATATTTATTTATAGCATAAAAACATTTATGATTTTCAATATTTTATTAATATTTTTAATTTTTGTCTTTTATGAAAAATTCCAATTTGATATATTCTATAACATCAATGGAAGGTATGCCAAAATTGTTTACTGAATACGTATGACAAGTGTACATTAAGTTAAAAACTATTATTATACTTGAAACTTTGAACCAAGAAATTACGCAGGCGTCATTTGATTTGGTTCCCTGAATTATTAGACATTTTATATAGTAATAATACCTATTAGAAACAATTAGATTCTTCTTGAATTTAGATATTAAATTAAGGCGAGATAAATGTAGATGAGTATATTTACCAGGAATAAAAGATTAATTGCACCAACTTAATAATTGACATTCCAATTTATAGATATTATTATACATGTATATTGACATGGGTGTAGCCAGCCATGGGCTCAGGGTGAGGTAACCCTGATTTCATACAAAATGGTTACACCCTATAGCACCCTGTAACTTTGTTATTTTTGTGTCAACTGTCGGGTATGAACTTTCTTACGCATATTAAGTATCGTATAAGTACTTAGATAATATTTTTTTTTATTTGATTATGTACCTTACAGTTCAGAGCCCCACCGTGGTTACGCCCATGTATACTGACAGGCTCTAATGTTCTCTAAAAAAAGTATGTCTTTATGCAGTGTACATAGTAGCCAATCACTGTCATATCCACAAAAAAAAATGAGTATTAGTTTAAAATGTAAGTGGTCTTTTGATTTACACACAGCAATTGAAACTCGTTCATGATGATAAACAATGCACACACTCAAGACCAATGTGGTATACCAGTTTAGTATACCGCCTTTCTCATATGATACAACATTTTTTATTTATGAGTATGATTGTTTGTATTGGTCCGGGTGTTTTCTATGTATATAGTGTATGTATTTACAAAAAAAAAATTAAGTATTTCTATCAGTTGTCTAGTACCTATAACACAAGCTCTGCGTGACTTGGAACTTATTATTATATTGAATTGTATACATGACATTCACAATATTTTCTATTATATTTTTTTCAATTGAATTTTCAATTATATTTCAAAAGAAAGGATAAAAAAAGGTGCCATTCATAAAAACTAGACTCAAAACTTCAATTTATACATCAAAATATTTAAAATATGAAATTTTTATATAAATAGACAATATTAAAACAATAACTAGTTTTATTTTGATGTTTCCTTTTTGGTATTAAAAAGTGCTCAAAATTTAAACATAATCCTTTTTTAAGTTAATTTCACCATAATGTTATTTTATCCATTAAAACCCAAAAAAGGCACATTGTTGTGTACCCATACATAATGTTCTTAAATTAATGTCATGAAGGTATTTTTTAACTTTATATTGGAATACCAAGCTTTGTGCAGTCATTCATAAAACTTCCTCCATCTACGTAGGTTTTGAAAAAATGGGTACAAATATTTTTGCTTTATATATATTTTAGGGTGTCTAAAAGTGATTCCTTAGTATGTGAGTTGTCTGTCACTAACCTATTTGTATTATAAATAATCAATTCTTTTTTTCGGACTCGTTTGAACTGAAAAATATTGATATTTCACTGCATATATCTTTTCAGGTTTAATTAAATCCTTCATTCAACAATTAGTTTGTCTATGATAAGTGTCATAGGCGAAAACTCAAGTGAGTATGGTAGTGTTCTCTAAAAATCATTTGAATGTTCACTGTGAGTAATATCACAGATAAAATAATATTATGTTCGAATGTCCAAGAAATTGGTAATTCATTTTTACATTAATTAAAAAACTATTCAGTTGTTAAATACATTTTATTTTACACAGATAGGCAAAGTTTGTTGCAGTTTTCATACCATACTTTTGGTACTGATTTTGGAATTGTTTTCCACTGCTTAGCAATATTGTATGCTGCCAGGTCAACAATTGTAAATTCATTTTTATATATCCAATTTTTACAATTTAAAAATAGTTTTGTAATCTGAATTTCTTTGTTCTTTTCTGGAGTTCTTTCTAATATGTGACAGATATCTAGTAGCCCATCCACAGTATGGTCTTCATGATCATAAAATACAACAGATGGGAAAACCAATGATAAATATCTCAGTACATTAACATTGCCAGTTATTGGTATGGCCAAGGGTGATAATTTTAATTCAGTATCAGCTGAAACTAAACATTAAATATATATTATTTATTTACAAATATTTTAAAACTAAAGAAATATACTATTTAATTTAATTTAATTAATAATTATGAAACTAAATAAAATAGTAAATTTCTTTATAAAAACTATTTTCATCTTACCACATTTGAATATCAGCCTTAAAGTCATAACTGCATTATTTACAGAAGTTTGTGTTTGCAAATTTTTCATGAAGCCTTCAATTTTTAAAGCTTTGTCATTAGGCACAGATGAATGAATATGCCATGTTGTTTTTAGAGCAATATTGGACTGTGAAAGTATTATCTTCAAAAACCAAGGCCAATTATCAGGACTCACAATTAATACAATTTCTTCTGGTTGTATCTGAAATGTTTTCAGTTTAAGATTAGTTTAAATACATTCTTTTATTGAAGTTTAATTTCATAAGTAAATTAATTAAAGCCCATTCCTTGCCCAAACAGAACCTATCCTATTCCATATATTTATTCCTATTTGATTTATGTAAGATGTTTTTTTAATGTAATTTATAATGTTTTTTCAAGTAATATGTCTTCTGTTACAAAAGGAATGTATATTTTTGTGAAAAAAAGTGTGGTTGGGGTGGAACGGGTGTACGGGGTATGGGGTATTCGGGGTCAATATGAACGTGCCTCAGGCGACGTTGTCGCGTATGTCGGATATTACTCCTCGGTGCGTAGTCGACCATACTGACTATAAGCGGGTTAGGGTGGAATTGGGTAGAGTCGAAGTAGTGTCGAGATTCTTCCTTCATAAACTGCTTGATGGAGGGCAGATTAAGATCGCGGTGTAGATCAACGCTACGAACAAACCACGGCGCACCGGTGGCTCGACGCAAAATCCTATTCTGTATTATCTGTAGTCGGTTAATTAAATAATAGGGTATGTGGGCGAATACGGGACTGGCGTTTGTCATGCTGGGACGGATGCAAGCCTTGTATAATGTCAGCTTGTTGCGAAGCGACATTTTACTATGCTTGTTAATAAAAGGACGGAATGTATATGCAAAGTTGTAAGTTTCTAGTTAAAACTGCATAAATTGCACATTGATAAATGTTCGAGCCACTAAGGCCTAATTTATACAAAAGTAATTGTTTAGATACCCGATTGTTAAATAAGATTCTGAGGAGGTTAACTTTGCCACAACATCATTATTACCATATAAAACATTGCTACTAAAATTGCTTAATATTAAAAAAAATCTAAGGATAACTCACATTTATGTTTATTTTACGATCTTGTCCATTAAACTTGCAGTGTGCACTAATTGTTTTAATTCTATCATAGAGTGTATCAAGTTTTTTCAGGAGCAGATCTTGTCGCTTTTCTAATTCAGCCATTTTATTGTTTGAAATTTGTGCCTGCAATTAAACAATATTTTATGTAGAATTCTTAGAAGCCTTTGTCTATTATTAGGCATTTTAATATTACTATAGAATAGAAGAAGCAATATAACACAATATTAACAGTTCTATGAAAGAGCAATGATATTTTCATGAAATTTAATGTATAATTTGTACCAAGCCAAGAAATGCCACAAGACAACATATCAATGTAAAAAAAATAGTATCAGGGAAAATAAAGAAATGTTTTTCGATTTGCACGAATATTATCAAAAATAGATATCAATGATAAATGAAATATCTGCATTATGTTTCAGCCATTATGAACAAATTTTTAAAAGTAGTACATAATACACCAATTTTAGTTTAAAAATGACGAGTGTTAGTTCCAAAGAAGCATTTGAATATTGTGAAGTAAACCTTAAGAAGCTTGATAACCTGCTCACTGATATGAATATCGCAATCGTCTGGTTGCACAGAATGGTTTGGATTTTTCATGCGATACATGCACTTCGGCAATGACAGTTGATCGTCATATTTTATGATATTCTTCATGCGATACATCATTTTAAAAGGTAATGAATGAACAGGAGGTATAATATATCAAATACCTCAAAATAAAATATATATGACTGTGACAAAAATGGAAAATTTCAATAAAAATAAAATTTTAAAAAGTAATAGTACTAGTGCTCTGTGAAATAGGTGACAATTGGTGAACGAAAAAAGAATGACAGATTTAACAGACGACAGACAAGATTTTTTTTATAAAATTCACAAATACTTGGCACGTTGTGCATTTGCAATGAATAGTTTTCGGGACAGATCAACCTAAACCACCTTGTTGTCCTGTTGACAAGAAAAGTCTGTTTTGATGCTACCTTAGATTTATATATTCTTATTTATTCTATATAAAATACGAAATAGAGTAAAGGAATTTGGACGCATCGCCATACGCTTTTTGCGCTCACAATGTTTATTCACGCTCAGTCGTAATCTAAAACTACCATGAAACATAGTCAAATAACCGAAGAAGAACATTTATCCAAATTAATTTAACCAGATAGACAAATTAGAATATTTTCTCTCATCTAGGGATTAGGTCGTACATTTGGAAATTAAGATCCAAACCACTCTCGGGATTCATTCACTAAGAAAAGAATCACTAGGTTTTCAACCATACAATTGCTAAATCATTTCGTTTCATCGGCGCCGGGATATAGCTGGCTATTTTCCTGATTTTGTTGATTAGTATTTTCCTAATTTAGTTTTACTTTTCTTTTCTTTTCTTTTCTACGTATGATTGGTAGGTCTAAAACTTAGATTGTCACTTTACCATAGAGGTAAAACTTTATGCGTCTCACAGACGCTGTGCAAGTTACCAATATTACAAATAAACAGTGATTTCCGATATACAATTCATTAGAGTGACTATCTATAGACTTATTATTAAATATATAACATATATACACATATTGTAATTTATTTTATTAAAATTTTTGTATATATTTTAAGTCATATTTTTAATATTTGATATAGTTACAAATTATAAAGCACTGAATTGATAATTGATGAAGTACTAACTAAAGAAAATGGCTACCCATACGCTTTTCATTCTGTATATTCAATAAAGTGTTCTGTGTAACAGGTCTGCAGCATATAAACTAATTTACTACGATTACAAATTACATACTGTGATTCTATTATTATACATTTTGTCGTAAATAATATCTGTTTGGCAAAATTCTCAACCCTTGTCCACAATACTGGGCTAAAATTCTAATGGAAGTATGAAAACGACATGGCGGACTAGTAATTGACCAATAGGAAGCCAGCATCTAAGCGTTTCAGAATTGATATACTCTCATTTCGCGTCATTAGGTTTTTGGAGCCTTTCCTCATTTACAAATTGAAAATATTTTCTTATAACATTGATTTGAACGCCTTCTCGTAAGTTTAAATAAAGCATCGTGTGATTTTTGTGTGAAATTAGTGAGTGACGTTCAATTTGTGGAAAGCATTATAAACGGCTGGGATCATGACTGCGTTGGATTTAGGATGAACTGAAATGCAATTCCATCGTTTTGTTTTTGTAAACAAGACATGTTTTTGTGGCACACGTGCGAAACAGTACATAATTGACAGTTGCTATCAATGATGTCGGGAAGGGGGGCGAAGAAACGTGGGAGACCCCCGAAATCTGGATGTTTTGAAAAGAACAGGAAATTCCAATATCATTTATTGAAAAAGCCGAAATATTTACAAGCACTAAATGTGGGATCGACTTCTCTTGTAAGCACGCCTTCTGCATCTAGAGCATCTTCTCCACAAGGAAGTGACATTAGTAAACGTAGTACGCGAAAACAGAGAGGAGGAAAATCTCATAAAAGTAAGAGAGGTGGATTGTCAAGTGCATATTCGCGAAGGGGCTATAATCCTCAGGCCGCAGAATATCATGAGTCGGAATATCATTATGGGTCCGATTTCGGAGATGAATACAGTGATAGATCTGAACCAGAAGATGATCGCGCTAGCGAAAGTTCGGAAGGAAGCGCTGGGGAAGGTGCCGCCAGTGACAGCGATTTTTCTGTGAGTAGTTACAGCACAACAGGGGGCATTGTCAAGAAAGTTGGCAGCAATACAATCCGTCTACCTAGCCCGGATCCTCTATGGCTACAGGACGAACGACAAATCCCCCCACTGGAACTTCCTCCATCATCAGATGATTTAATCATACCTCAAAATTTAATTTTACAAGTAGTTGGTATTTATGAAGTTTTACGACATTTTAGACATTTGGTGAGGTTGTCCCCATTTCGTTTAGAAGATTTGTGTGCAGCTTTAAGCTGTGAAGATCAGAGTACTTTACTTATAGAAGTGCATATAATGCTGCTTAAGGCCTTACTGAGAGAGGAAGATGCTCAACAGACTCACTTTGGTCCTCTAGACCATAAAGATAGTATAAATATTACTTTATTTTTACTGGATGTCATGACATGGCCTGAAGTACTAAGGATCTATGTAGAAAGTGATAAGTCTTTTGATCAAAATGTCTTAAAAATTTTGAATTCATGTGAATACCCATTTGCATCTATAGAGAACAGAGTAGCTGTATTACAATTCTTGTGTAATCAATTTCTAATAACAAATCCTGTACGTGATGACCTGCTGAGTGAAGGTAAGTACTTAAAAGTTCTATCTTACTATATTCTACATATAGAAGATTCTTAATAAGATTTGACTAAGCAGGCGACTCAAACGAAGTCATATATGTAATAAAAATAAGGAGGAAATTTTGATTGTATTTTTAATATGTATAATATATCAGACTGCTTTAGTTATTTTTTTACTTTTATAAATAAAGTTAGTTTTATAAATAAATTAACATTAGAAAAAAATATTGGTTCATAGGTACAATAGGGATGGGGAATAATAATTAATATAAAATTTAAATAAAGAATATATATATATACACCAATAAACTATGAGAGACCATCCTATATGTCTTTAGTTGTCACCAATATTAATTGGTAGGATATTATATATTTATTGAATTAGCCTATAATGATACCACAATGTACTTGGAAGATGACTCTGTATAGCATTAGTTGTTTATAAACCTGTGTTTTTTAATATATATAGAATAGAATTATCATAGGTAAAGTCAGATTCTACAGCATGCAGCAGTCTTAAAAGGCTTAAAATATTAAAGAATATTTTTTAAGTGACAATTAAGAGTGTATCCTCTGGAAGTTATGGCCTATGTGACATAAGCATTGTGCATTGCAAGCATTGACCACAAAAAATTTATCAATAAAATTGCATCAACCTATGAAATCATTCCGAATTCAATTTACATAACTCGGGAGGATATTAATTGGAATTTTTGTCTCTAAGTAAAATTGCATTAAGCTTCTTTAAATATGTATAACACAATAAACCTTTGGTTATTCAAATATCTGTTATCATTATGATTAATTTTAAATATTGTGGTCCAGTATATGCAATAAGTATTTTACTTATGTAATTTTTGTTGATTTATCTAATTAACTATATTTCAATTGTACATTCATTCTCTCTTTGGTTGAATGATGTTCTTTCATATAGAATATATCTGTCAATACTTGTACTCTTAAATTAGACATACAGAGTATAATTAAATTGTCATGGGAGTCCATTTTTAACCATTGTTGCCTGATATTATGATTTATGTTCAAGAAATATATCTATTGTGAATAGGCAACTACATATTTGAACTTTTTCTAGAGCAGGTATCAATTCAAGAAATTAACAAACTTGATAAATAAATAAAATATTCTTATTAGAGATTAAGGTCATTATTTTCTAATTATAACATTTAGTTTTTTAAGAGATATTATCCATCAAAATAAGAAAGCTCTAGACTGCCAAGTGATCTTAATATAGAAGATAATGAAATCTATTTTGCATCTTATTTTGTTATATATTAATGAATCTTTTTTTATTTCTACAGTTCCTATACATTATGATGATCACTGCAGAGTGTGCCACCGTTTGGGGGACCTTTTGTGTTGTGAAACTTGTCCAGCTGTATTCCATTTGGAATGTGTGGATCCACCTTTAGTTGATGTACCATCTGAAGACTGGCAGTGTGCACTTTGTAAACAACATAAAACAATTGGTGTAACTGATTGTTTGCCAGATGCCGAAAAACAAGGTTTACTTTGTCGCCATGAACATATGGGTTTTGATCGCCATGGAAGAAAGTATTGGTTTATTAGTCGCCGTATATTTATGTAAGTATTCAAATACACTATTATTATTCATTATGTAGTGTCATATTGTCACAGTGCAGTGCCTTCGATGAATTGCAGTGGTTTGGCCTAATCTAAAAGCAATGTCATATTATACTCTATTTCACTTTAAATTAAATTAAATTTTCAATTATAGAAATTTATTGTTTTAGAGAATCTGAAAATGGTCATGTATGGTATTATTCAACCCCTCAACAATTTCAAGAACTATTAAATGTATTAGATGCTCATGAGATGGAAACTCCTCTGGTCCGAGAATTATTAGAAACAAGACAAGAAATTACTAGGCAAATGGAAATTACGGAGCGATTAACAAATCAAGCAAAAGGAAATCGAAAATCCTACTTAGAAGTAGAGAATTCAAATATTTTAAAACAAAGGAAAGTGAATGAAGAAACAAAGCTACATGAACAAAATGTAGGATTGAAAATTGATGATGAAAAATCAGAAAATGATTCTACATTTGTTTCTGATGATATGGTGAATGAAGTCACGGTAACCAGTGAAGACATGTTACAAGTGGATAATGAAGAGTCCGATGTAGCCGATGATACTGATGTGAAGAGAAATAAAAGTCATAACAACAAAACTAGGTCATTAACACAGAAGAAAACTGAAGAAGGTAATTATGATTGAAAACCGTGGGAAGTTTTATTGAATTAAATAATTTATTTACAGAATACAGTGCTCATAGGTTTTAACTACAATTAATCATAATGTCCAGTGTATACAGCTTGCATAGCTGAAAACTTCTATGTAAAAAGTATGTAACATTATTTTTATATTTACTGTAATATATTATTTATTTTCAGTTTCTGAAAGAGTAACACGGTTAAAATCTAATCAAATATCAAATGGAACATACTTATTCAAATTAGGAAATGAAAATTCATTTAAGAATTATGTAAATCAATACTCTATTAATCCTCTGGCATTGAACAAACCTCAACGTAATGAAGAAAGAGATAAAAAACGCTATATGGCACACAAATTTTCATTATCTTCAGGACAAGAATTTAAATGGGTTGGACTTCTTAATGGTTGGTCATTAATGCGAGTTATTGAACAATTATATATTTGAATAAATATGCTATGCAGTATATTCATAATGTATATATTTCATTCCAGCTACAAAGCCATTATTAGTTGCTACATTGAGACAAACTTTACTACAACTAGAATCCAATATAGTGATCCAGTTTATGCATCCTAATTGGTCTTTGTTAAGAAAACCGTGGGTGCAAGCGGTACAACTTTGCCAGGCTCCACGTGATTTTTCTAGAGCCCTATGCGTTTTACAAGTGAGTATTGCTAGTTAAAGTTTTCTCTTGTAAATATTTGGAGGTCAATATGACCTCCAAATATTTACAATTTAGATATGAAAGTTTGAGTTAGCATATTAAACTTGGTCCAAGTGAATAAACCAAATCCTATTGTGAACTATGTAAAATGTCATTTTTATACCTACCTAAGTTTTTATGTTTTAATATCACTGCAACGTACAGTACTAGACATGATTTTACCTTGACCTACACATTTCCTTGTATTTGTGGTACCCAAAAAGGCAAAAAATGTACACAAATGTAAAGAGTCGACAATATAAAATACCATGGTGGTTGTGGTGCTGTGGTAGATGAGAGATTGACATGGGATGCAGACATAATGTTAATAATTAAAAGAATTAGAAAACTAGTATAGATGTTTCAAAAATATTAGAGATCTCGGAAATGAAACGCTGACAATGTACTTTATACTGTATTTACTCATGGAGTTTAATTAACCTTAACAATTAAAAGCAAGAATAACTGAATCATGCTGTAATAGATCAGTAGACAACATATTAAAATAAGTTTCCTAAGTAAGAATTTAATAGAACTTTAAAGTTGTATTTTGGAATAGCTTTCCTTAACCCACTTCAGAACTGCAGCTGTTGGTCATTAGACTTCATAATACAACTACTTAACTAACATAACCATTACAAAAGCTTTCAACTGGAAGGAGGGTCTCATTGTTACTGTCTCACAGGACGCTCATTGGTGGAAGTGTAGAATAATAATTTGGGTTTATGGGTTATTTAAAGTTATGTTTTTAGTATATAATATATAATTTTCACAAATATTTTTAGGCATGTATAAAAAATGTGGTATGGATGCCAGCTTGGCATGAGCAACTTGGGCATGTAAGATTAATACGAACCACGGCTGCCGAGCGGGAAGAACGTAAAAAACTAGACAAAAGAGAAAAAAAAGAAAGGGATGAAGAAGAAGAACGTTATAGAACTGGTTACAATTTTGTTAAATATACATTAGGCTTCCGACATCAGGTAATTTGTAATAACGAAGATGGATGAGAGGTATAAAGTTTGTAGGAACATGAAACCTTAAAAATAGATTAATAAATTGTAAAGCTAATTATTTAAGGAAATGTATACTATTGTATTGTAGTCTTGTAAGTTTAATAAAACATCTTAAATAACATTAAATTCTTAAATACCGCAAATGGAATCTTTGTTAGACGTAATAATATCTCTGAGAGCAGTTTCATTTTCTTACTACTTTAAACAATTTTATGCAAGAATTATGTCTTATATATTTATTATTTAATACTTTGAGGTGTGGAAACAAAAAGGAGAAGAATACAGGATTCATGGACAATGGGGATGGCTATGGAACTCAACTACTAGAAAGTATAAGAAACATAACATGACACCGAAACTAAACCTTAATAAAGGACCTGCCAAAATTGCAGTTAGAGTTAGAGAAGGAAGCACAATTAAAGTATTAGCTGTTGAACCCAAAACATATGAATATTTAATTTCTGATAAAACTGACAAGGATGTTCTTGACAAATGTAAGTAACTTGTTTATAATAATAAATGTTACTTTATTTATATATTTTTATAAATAAAATTAAATAAATTTTATACTCAATTATGCCCCAAATTGTAAACGCTTCATTATACCATTATATCTTAGCAAGTGTATAAAAGATTCTATTTGATCATTGTCTTTTAGTGTGTAACACATTGATTAAATAATTTTTTAGTACCCCCATCGATGCGTAATTTATCAGTGGAAAAAGAAGACACTGACGATTTCGAAGAAATTGATGTAGAAAAATCTTTGAGTTCTTCTACAAGAAGATATTATCCGAAAATAGCAAGGAAATCTAAATTGGATGAGTTCTTAACACGACGTACTTATTTAAAATTTATGGAAGAAAAGAAAATAGCAAATCTTTTAACCAAAGTGAAAAAAGAGGATGTAGATATCAAGAATGAAGATGATAAAAATATTGATGTTGAGAATGATGAGCCAGAAACTGAGTTTCCATCTATTTGTGAAGCAACAAAAGAAAGTAAACAGAATAACATAGATGATTCTTCTAATAAGACTGCTGACTCATTGAGAGATCGATATCAGAAACTAGTAGCATTAACGAAACATTATAAATGTTATTCCAATAATTGCAACAAAATGGATTCTACAAATTTCCTTCAAAGTTCAGCCTTAAAAATCAATTGTTATTCACCATTATGTATTCTCAAAGGAAAACTGCTGAATGAATTGTTGACAGTATTAAAAGGCGATATTAACAACTCTACCAGTAGTATTCTAACAAGTTCAAAAGAAAACACAAAAATGTCAATTCTAGAACAATACTTATTAGGGAAGAGTCCATTTCCAACTGTAAATAGTAATGAAAATATTTTAACAGATTTATTGTCTGCTGTGGCCTGCGCACAAGAATGTGATAATAAGAGTACAGATGGTTATGTGAAAAGGAAACTAAGTAGCGATTGTGACACTGGGGCCGTTGTAAAGTTTGAGAAAGATGACCGTATAATGTCTCCTCTTAAATCCGAGAGTACATTAGAAGAATCAGCTGTACCAGCTGTAGGTAATGAAATGGATATTGATATTACTTGCAATAATACTGAAGAAAATGAAGTTGAAATAGGTCCTTTAAAAGAATTGACTGACCCTGATCAGAATATTGATGATAATCTACTGGATTCCGATTCTGATAAAACTAGGCCGCCTATACCAAAGTTAAGAATAACTAGAGGTAGATCATCTAAATTACCCAATAATTGTTCCACGACACCAAGTGATAACGAAAATAAAGATTCTACATCATATAAATGTTCAGTAACCTTATCTAAGACCAATGACAGTAGCAAATATCGTGCTACAGTTAATAGGCGGTTTGGGCTTACTAAACCGAAAAGAGACGATAAACCTATTAAAGAAGAAACGGCTGAAGATGGTGTGGTAAGAATATATTCTGCTAGCAGCCCTCATGGTAAAATATACTTGAAAAGAGTACAAGCCACAGCACTTGAAAAGAAGAAAAAAAGAACGCCAGTCAAGTATCCTCTATGTTCCACTTTTCACACAAGAAGTAAAGCAAAAACCTTAATGGTTTTGCCACATCATGAATTGAGAAAAATTTCGCGACAAGCTGGACATAATACCGTATCTGGCTTTAGTCATAGTGCTAAACCAAATCAGACTGTGTGGCCTTATCCTTGTGCAAGGCCTTTACTCAAAACATGCTGGCTATATCGCACAGTAAATTTGCATTGGCTTGCAAGTGCAGCTTTACAACTTCGTATAATGTGGGCTTGTTTACGTTGGGATGATATGGCTGCTAAAGCTGGAACTGCTGATGGAAAGCATCAATTAACAACTGATACAGAAATTGTTTCTTTAGAATTGTTAAAGCACCGTCACATAGGACAATTTTCTGAACGTACACAGTATCTTCGTCGCCGAGTCGTTATACCATTAGAGCTACCAAAAACTGTACGTGAAGTAACTTCGATACGCAGTGGCTTGCGGAAAAGGAAACGTGCGGAATCGCCACAAAATACTGAACCTCAGGTAAATGTTCCATATTCAATATTTATCATAAATTTTAACCTGATTTGTTTTATATCAATTATTATGTAAAGCTAAATTTTCAGTTAAGCAAGATTGCATATGTAGTGAGATTACAGTTACTATTCTAAAATGAGGAATCCTGAATTATAATTATTTATATTGCTATACACATGGGTTTGTTTGCATCTCTTCACCGAAGACCTTGTTTATGGGCTTGTGTATGGCATGCGCCAGTGGCACTCAGTACTGGGATTTTAATACCCTATTTCTGGCCCTTTGCTATTACTTATCTCCAAGCGTAAATAATATTTCAAAAATATCTAGAAAATTGTGTTTGAATATTGTTTCTTGTTCATGTTATATAACTAAAATTTTCCATAAAATTTATCTAAATTAATAATTATTAATTTTGCTAGAATAGATAGATTCTTGCTAGAATTGTTGGTTTAAATAAAGTAATAGTAAAGAAATATTGAATAATATTGAAATTACAGGTTTCTGAAGAGTGGGTTGATGAAGATAAATTGGAATTATGGGAAGTACGTCAATATGGTGAACGCACTGAAAGAGCAACACCTGTTACTCGTACATCAACTGGTAAACTACCTCAGCGAACACAGCCACCACCACCCCCAAATGCTTCGGACCTCAAGGATAAAATGGAGCAACAATTGCGAGAACAAAGAGCTGCACATCAACAAAAAAGAGCACTCGAGATTTCTCAAGGTATTGTATTAACTAAAGTGTTCATGATTATTATTAAAATTATTTGCACATAATTGTGAACTCATGATTTATGTCCTTTTTAGAAAAATCTAAATCAACACCGAATTCTGGTAAGAGCACCCTCACTTCATTGCTGACAACAAATGCTAATACACCAACTGGTCAGAAAACAGTAATAGGCACTCGAAGGATTATCATGACAAAGGGAGCAGATGGTTCAACAAGAGTCATTAGTCAACCTGTTGGAGCAAGTACCAAAACGATACAAAATACTGATGTTCCATCAAAACCTACCGCAACACCACAAAAGGAAGGACCACAGAAAGTGCAAATAATAAGGGCGCCAGATGGTAAAATAACAGTTCGGGGATTGCTGGCTGGACAACAGCTAATTCAAATGCCCGATGGAAAATTGCACGTCGTGATGGCTGGTCAACAGGGAATCACTGGTCAACTGGTGGCAGCATCGCCCGCTTCGAAATCTTCAGACAATGAGAAAGAAGACAAAACGAAAGAAGCCAAAAACGCAGTCGAGGATACGAAAGCGACGGCGTCGCCGCGCGTCGTTACGCAACCGACACAACAAATCGTTCTGCAGGGTAATCGGCAATTAGTCGTGCAACCGCCGCAACAGGTGGTGGTGCAACAACCACAACAAGTGGTCGTCCAGTCGCCGCAACAAGTGGTGGTGCAACAAGGAGGAGCTAGAGCGAGCTTGCAGCCTCGCGTGCAGCCCGTACAGACGATGCTGGTGCAGGGCCAGCTCATGCAGCGTCCTGCCACGGCCGTCACGACCGCCACACCGCGCACTCCCGTCGCGCGCCCGCACACGCCTCGCGCGCGGCCCGCTTCTACTCAACAGATCGTAGTCAATAATCCCGTGCTCGTGCAGCAGATCGCAGCTGGCAAAATACAGTTGGCAACCGTGAATGGACAGCAAGTATTGATTAGACCTACTGGAAACAATCAAGCGCAGATAGTAGCGCACATAGGACAGAGCCCGGCGCCTGCTCCGCGACCGGTGGCACCGGCGGCAGTCGTGCCGCAGCCGCCCCCACCGCCGCAGCCGCAGCCGGTCCAGCAGCAACCGCTAACAGAGGATGAGATTGTTGAAAAGCGTCTACTCGTGGGTCAACCACCTGGCACAGTCATAAAAACTGTTACAGCACAGGTACTACTTTCAAATTTTCAATTGCATAGATATAAGTGCATTGTCTATTGGGTAGTGAGCTAGCAAGTTGATAACATAGAAAAGTTCTGATTTTAGTAGTACATATATAATGTAGTTTAACACTCATAAAATATATATAAGCATAGATAATATAAATAAACCATACATATACATTATACATAATTATATTACAACTGTTGTTTTTCGCAATATAAACGTCGTGAAATTGTAATGGTGTAACTGTAAACTTATTTAACATGTTAATATTCATGTAACGTAAATGTAGATATTCTACTAGGGCGCCAATTAACTTTTTTCAAAGTTAATATAAATATATATATATTGTATTTTAATTATTTTTAATGTTTTCATAATTTTTTTGTCACAGGTTATGCAAACCAGTAGTGGACCTAGTATAGTATTACAAGGTTTGCATGGATATTCATTAACACCTCAACAATTGGCTTTGGTGCAACATCAAGTAAAACAGCAACTATTGAAAGGTATTTTGATGAATTGTTTTACATACAATAACTACAGCAATAGTTACCACATTAAAAGATATATAGGTTACAAATTATAGAAATATATAAATTTTCTTTCATGAAGATCCTTCCCACTGACTGTCTAATTGCTATGGACTATATATAATTTATTATAATTCACTATGGTCTGTTAGCATGATTGAATTGTTTATTGCATAAATATATGAATATATCACATAGCTATATGAAGACGTATAATTAAAAAATACAGTACAGTGAATGAATTAAAAAAAAAGTATATTTTCTGAAATGAACATTGTATGTGATCATTTTTATACCAATACAATTTTATTCTATTTTAGGTTATTACTAAACTAGCTGTAACCGCGACTTCGCGACCTAAAACCTAAAATAACTTAACTTACTACTTACTTTACTACTTTTTAAATATTTTTTCATTATTTGGTCAAGGCGACCTTGACCAAACAACGAAAATATTTAATAATCTAACCCAATGAAAGAGTTTCATCGATTTAGCTTAAAAAATCATGATTCCCATACAGAATTTCATATAACTCAATCAACGGTCTAAAATATAAGTTTGAAGCTTCTATCTTTAAAAATGACTATTCTTCTATACAACCTTGCATCTACCCTTTCAATTCCTTACATCCCTCTTTTCACATTAAAAAGTAGCGTTTGTCTTTTCTCAGGGTCTAGACTATCTGAGTATCAAATTTAATTTTAGGTTTTAATTAGTAATTCAGTAGTTTTGGTGTGAAAGCGAGACAGACAAACAGTCAGATTTACTTTTTTAAATTTGATAATGCACCAGTGGAGGATGATAAGATAAACATGAGGTCAGGTCAGTTAGCCCATCATGATAAATTAACCTGGAATTTATCACGATGGTTTCCAGGCGAAATCGCGTGGAGGTCAACCTGACATGGCACATTGCTAGCAATGGGGTCGAGAGTCCACATCACTAACAATCCCCTTCCCCGGTCAGAGTTACCTTTCGCATTTATAATACTAGTAAGGATAAAGTTGCGGCAAAGAATCTTATTTCCTGAAACAATCGTAGCACAAGAGTCGACGGGCAAACAAGGCATGCTGGGCCCGAGGAAAATGTACCTGGCGGTGCAGCCCGCGCCGGGCGGCGGGCCGGGCGCTGCGACGGCGGCGGTGGGCGCGGCGCCGCTGCCGCCGCTGGCGCCGGTGGCGGCGCTGCCCGCCCAGCCGCTGCACGCGCTGCAGCCGCTGCACGCCGTCTCGGTCCCCGTGCCCATGCCGCATCAGGTAATTTATTACTACTAGCCAGGCGCCTCTCCGAGCGCCTCCGATTCGTATCGCAGGCGATCCGCTGTCGCATACCAGACTTGTAATCTGATAAGAAACGATCCCAGTGGGATTTATATTTTTACAGTGGCACTTAGGAACTCGAATCTAGACAAAATTGTGATATTTAGTTTTTGTAGCATGTAGTAACTTATTTGTGTAAACTCGATAGTGAATTGTAGGCGAGGCTCGAAAATTGATCGAAGTCGTTTAAAGGGAGACGATATCAAAACGAGTGCAACGTTGTTATTTAATATTTGTTTTGGTATTTTCTTTGAAAGGAAATTCACATTCGTATCTTGACATATACTGACGTTGCACTCTTTCTGATGAGAACCTAATATCTATCTCGATCGCATGAATTGTCTTGTTAAGAATTATGGAAGAGAGTGTTTTAATTTTCGTCCCTTTCATAGGTATTGTAAATTATAAGACTGGACGCAGTTTTACCATCGAAATATTGAGCAATAATACAATTATTATTGTTAAAATAAATACACCAAAGATAATTGTAAATGGTTGCAGTAGCTATATAATAATGTAATTATAATATCTATGTTGTTTTGGTATTTGACAATTGTTAGTACATAAGTTATATCTATAGTAGTTAATTAATAAATCAAGTATTGAAACACTTACCAAAATTTATGCAAAACTTAATATTACATTTTATTGACTTAAGTTTTGAAATTTTTACTTGATTCAAAAGTCATTACGTTTATTTAATTATTATGATATTAATACGATTATTCTTGTTATTTTCACTCAATTACCTGAAAATTTACTATTATTAATGATTATAGCTAATCATCATTTCGCAAGGCAACCTAAACGCTTGGCTACGGACCACGGATAGTATTACATATGACCTGCAATATATAAAGATTTTCTTGACGTTACAAAAAGCTAATATTACCTAGCTATATTTTTATGTTATTCATTCATTCATAATTTAAGAGCTGTGCTCTTGTCAGTGGATCTCCCGCCACCTTCCACGATCTTCTATGTTATAATATATAAATATTTAATTAGACGTTTAAATCTTTTATTAGATAATTTATGTTATTTTTATTGTCCGTTAGTCTTAGAGAGTTGTCTTCTTTCTTCCAATATTTAATAGTCAAAGATAGTCTTTCGCTACTGCGTCTCAAAAATATTTTCTATTCTACAGAATATTAAACTTTATGCCCTAATGGTAGTTTATTGAGAATCTACGTTTTAGTTAAATAATACGGTGAAAAATGGGGATAACCAATATATTACTACGGTTAGAAAATCGAATATCATCAAAATCATTGGATTTTAAATGTATGCGTAGTAATCAAAACTAGATCGTATGCCTAGAACTCGCAGTGCTATCAGTTTTGACAATTATCCGAGCGTTTAGGCTTTTTAATTAAATATTTGATATAATTTTATTAAAAATATTAAAATGTTATCTTATTTTAAATGAGCCCAGCGAAAATTTTTTATAGTTTTGGATATTTAAAATTATTATGAAGAAATGTCCAAAATATACATTGATGTAATTTCTTAATTGTCATTGATCAAAGAGTTAAGACGCCATATATGCATTTATATTTAATACAATTCCTAATATTTTATTTAAGGCAATTGTTATTGTATAGGTACCGACACACATGCTCAAAAGTTTAACAACGAACATGTTAACATGAGTATAATTCACCTAATAGCATATGTATGTAGAGTATTCGAATATGTGTATGCATATATTGACCGTATTTTTTATAATCGCTAAAACAACACAAACAAACGTTTTTGATCATGTGTTTCTGTGCCATTCATCATTGTCTGTCAATCTGATAGCATTTATAACTATATCATTATTTATATACACGCTTATACGTAAGAACTTAGTATTTTACCAACATGTATAATTCCTGATATACATATTTATCAATATTTGGTAAAATACAAAAAAAATAGGGAATGTAAAACTCGCCTTGTTAAACTGTGGGCTACTCAAGTGGCATTCCGTTTATAGGTTAAAGGATATTCTATATTTAAATCTTTAGTAAAATATCATTCTTCCATTTCATCTATTGTAGAACTTTTAGTAATCATGTCCGGTAAACAGTACTATAAATTTGTGCATTTAACTCGCAGATATGTTAATAATTTTTATACTAGTAAAATAGTGATATTTAAAATACATTTGGTATCAGGAATTGCTCATACACCACCTGTATAACTATGTAATTAAGCTATTACAGAACAAAACATTATTTATATATGACTAGTGCAATAGTGTCACTTAAATAAAATAATTTCAGTAATTCTTTGACTTTTATTTATCCAAGTCCTGTTTATTTATGTAAATTTATTTTCTTGTTATTATTTAATGGAAACGTTTTGTGGGGGTGTATGGGCAATTTTGTACCTAACTATAAATTAAAACATTTATTAAGAAACATATTTATTGAAATAGGGAATGGGAGATCATTCGAATATATTCATTAATGTAAAACATTTAAAAGTTTAAATACTTTTTATACTGATATATTCCCACAAACGAATTTTAAATGTTATTTGTTTCTTTTTACTTTTCCCTGTTTTTTTTTTTAAATAGTAATACATGTTAGTGATTTTATTTATTAATAAATTAAATAACGTATGATGCTACAATATAAAATATGAGGAATCTGGTAATCACTATGCTACTCGGATCAAATGGACTTCTCGACGATGAGTAAGTAGCTGTTAAAGTATTTTTTTATATTAGTTATGCCTTTTACTTTTAGGATGTTAATGAAGAAGAGAAATTAAAGAATGCGCCACTTCTAAATGGCGATGATAAAGTGATAAGTTGTTCCAAAACGGAAGAAACAAAAGGAAGTAACAATAAATCAGATATAATAAATACCAATCCGGAAGGAGTGCATGCTAATAAGTTCGTGCTCACACCCGATTATATACAGCAAAGTAAGTATTGTAGTTTAATTATTGCATAATATAATAACGCAAAAAGCGTAGTATTGTTTATGTATACTTCTCTTATTAAATACAATTCGGTAAAGATACAAAAGACTAATTTGTAAAAATAAAATAGCCATAATTTGTACTATTATTTATTATAAACTAGCGACCAACCCCGGCTTTACACGGGTGCAATGTTGATAATAAATATACCTACCTACTACAGAATGTCCTTATAAACAACGTTTACAGCTTTTTTGTCTATAGACAGTACAAAATTGTTTTTAATTTTTTAAATCATACATGTTTATTGGTCATATATACACTAAGTCTTACTTCACTTAATATCATATAGTTATGCTCGCTACTACCAAAAGATAATTCTATAGAAGGTATCACCCTTCATTTTTCAGCAATCAAAAGCGCCTTAAAACAAGAAAACCTAAATCCTGAAATCGAAGAGAAACTTCTACAGTTACAAAGATACCAAGAGAAACGTATGAAACCGGAACCGCACGTTGAACGAGAGCCAAGAGCGATCGTAGTCTCAGCGCAATCCCCTTCGCCACCGCCACGGCGTCGCGCTGTGTCGTCTCGCCATGACGATGATGATGAATGGGTAGACAGCAGTCCGCGCAAGCGGTCTCGTGCCGCACGCCAACCGTCGCCTCCGATTACACGCGCGGCGCCCCAGCCGCCGGCCAGCCTCCAGCAGCAGTCCGCACCCGCGCCCTCGCCTGTCCCCGTCCTTGCCGCCGTCCCCGTTCCCGCCGTGCCACCTTCCACGCACCCGCCGGCTTCACCCGTCCAGGCGTCATCGGCAGATGAACGACGCCGTGCCGCCTCTACTCACTCCCGCCTCCAAATGCTTCTATATAAACACAAAGAAATGCTGAAAAAGGACATAATAAAAAAACGAGGTCTTCTCGAAAAGGAACTCGGCGTAGAGATACAGGTAAATGTAGTCAACATTAATTAACACTAGGTTTACGGGCGTTTCTTATATATCTATCTCTACGAGCATCCGTCAAATTGACGGGTGGATGAAAATACGTATTTATTTTTAAAAAATCAATTTATTCAAACTAAGTCTGAGTTTAACAATATAAGGCTTCACGTAAAAATAAAATACTAATAAGTCAAATTTTTTGTTAAGTTATTACGAAAATGATAACAATAATATAAAGGCTATATAATCATATTTATCGAGGACATTTTTTACATACGTATTGAATTTCTTTTGTGCATTTTCCGCATACGATACGATATTTTTACAATACATACAGCAATTACTGCTTCTATTTTTATTACAGTAGCCCACTTGGCAACTTTTTCGCACTCCCGATGTTGAAAGTGACCGATCTGAAACGTCTGAACTGTAACCAACGTTCTCCTTGTTTTATCCAGCTAATTCATCGGCTAAAGAAAATATAAACTCCTTTCTCGATATTTTCGATCCGGTACACTCTTTGTACAATATCCATGCGTTTATCGCTGCCAAATCTAAAATATTATAAAAAACTTGGAGAGGCCATCGAAAACACCCTGCTTTCACACTATATTTGCGTGCCATCTGCTACCAAAGTCTGTGAAAGTTCCTTGTGTGTGTTGTTTATGTTTGCACCAACACATGAACTGAATATCTTTTCGATACGACATTTAGTCTGCTGCTCGCTTTGTGTTTCGAATAACGCGAGGATTTGACACCCGGGCTACACAATTCGTTATCGAGGCGCTATTGAGACTATGAGTTGGGGGGGGGGGGGGGGGGGGTCTTAACCCTTTCTTTTAGTCTTATATTTGCATTTAGAGGTATAATTTTACAAGCGAAGCAAATATATATGGATTGTTGACGTAATCAGCTAACCCGTCAAATTGACGGGTTCCGTAGAAATAGGTATACAAGATACAATTTTCAAAATTTATAAAGCTTAGGAAAATACTAATTGTGCGTATAAACTCTTTTAATGAAATTATAAATTTACGATGCAAAATAGATTAATGCTATGGTTTTTTGCATGTTTCATTTCAAAGTTTGAAATCCGTCAAATTGACGGGTCCCGTAAACCTAGTGTTAAAAACATAACATTCATTCATTTCTTTATTACACGCACGTAAGCCTAGAACGCTATAACTGCCAATGATTGCCGTTCTCTAACCTATTGCAGACCCTTGCTAGGCGTTCTGTATTCTGTGTTCTGTAGTGCTGTATAGTACAGCACTTCACACACTTCTCGGAAATCTTAAATATGCTTGTTTCGTTTTCGTTTAAAGTATTATTTTGTCAGAAACATAATTATTTTATATGGTTTTTGTAGAAAGAACTATCGGCCGAGTTGGCATTGCGGACACGAGCCGAACGCAGCAAACAAGAGGAAGTTCGGAGCGGTAAACGACGACCAACGCCGGCGGTCACTCGTGACTCTACTCCCAGAACCACTAAGAAAAATGTTAAAAAAGAGAAACTTCTTTGTATATGTCGAACGCCGTATGACAACACCAAGTAAGTTGTTATTGTGGAGTTCCAAAATTAGGCTGCTAAGTTTTGTCATTTTCCAAAATAAACCATACCATGTAGGTAGGTATGGCTTTTTTTAAAGCTGAACTATTTAAAAACTTACAAATTAATAAGTTCAAATACTTGCACAAAATTATATCCACCGATAACTTTCTGTTTTCAAGAAAATTATTTTTGTATCTTCATCAGTTCTATGCACAATTTTTTTATTCCTTTTACTTTACATTAGTCAATAATTATTCTTATCTTACAGGTTTTATGTAGGTTGTGAACACTGTAGCAATTGGTTTCATGGTGATTGCGTTGGTGTTACGGAAGAAATGAGTAAAACTATGGAAGAATATATTTGTACCGATTGTCGACGCGCTGAGGAGACACAAGAACTATATTGTCTCTGCCGGCAACCCTACGATAATTCACAGTTCGTAACCTGATATCACTCATTTTTGTTTATTTTAAAAGATTTTACAGAATATATTGGATGAGCATACGTAAATACCGGATGCTTTTTTTAAAGTTCAGTGAAAGTGCTTCTAGTTCATATAGCATTTATGCCGCACATACTTTATATGAACTATAAACACTATACATAATTAAACATAAATTACAATCAATAATAACACAACACAAGGTGTGTAGGAATGTGTTGGGAGTCTGTCCGCCATTTTTATCATAGTCATCTTCTATGGCGTAAAGACCTATAGGAAACGGAAGTATAATTAGTATATTGTCAACAAATATTATAGGCCATAATTAGTTTTTTTTAACAAAGGCTATTTTTATGACATTTAAATTTTAAATAATTACGTCTGCCTGCAGGCCTTTGTTTAGCATTGGACGTCTTCCGAACTGAGATGATGATGACGGCTGTCTACTATATTCTAATATTTTTTATGCTATATAATTTAATCAAATTGCCTTCATGTACTTATCATGACATACTTTTTGCCCATACTACTGTACGGGGAAAAAGTATGTCATATTTCTAAAGAAATAAATAAAATCAAATGAGAATTTTCTTATGTTATTATATGTATTTGGTGTCAAATATTGTACTATTTACAAAACCAAGATACTCAACCTTCACAAGTATTTTAGTTATATATATATATATATATATATTATTTTCAGGTTTTATATTTGTTGTGATCGCTGTCAGGATTGGTTTCATGGACGATGCGTGGGCATTCTCCAATCAGAGGCAGACAATATTGATGAGTACATTTGTCCCAATTGCCAAAAAAATAATTCTGTTAACTTTGCAAATATGAAAGAATTAACTGCAAAGGACTTTGAAAATTTAAAGAGGCTAATAAAGCAAATACAGTTACATAAAAACGCTTGGCCATTTATGGAACCTGTTGATCCTAGAGAGGCCCCTACATACTACAAAGTTATCAAAGAACCAATGGGTACGTAAATAATAGTGATAGATACCAGTATAATATATTTTGATGAAATTTGGCTTGAAATTTTCTGGTATACATATATGGTATACTCAATGGGATATTCTAGCATCCATTGTTTAAACCTTTTAATATTTAAGAATTGCATTAAAAGTATATGTATTTTTTAATTTTAGATAGTCTAAAATTAAAAAAAGAAACTGAATGTATATGTTAGAGGCTAATCAGAGATTGTAATAAAAAAAGATTAATAACTGTATAAATCGGTACTTACTAAGAATTTCTGTTTGTAACAGAACTTTATTTAATAACCTCCAAAAGTTTGCAACAAGATAATGTAATTTTTTTTCTAAGATAAAAAAAGCAGACAAGCGATGAGTACTTTGTTCATTTATCTAATGAACTGAATATATTATTTATGTAGTTAAAAAAATCATTAGGCAATACGAAACTGGTATAGGGTACTTACATGGATTCCATGAATGTCCTTCAGAAATCCTTCATACTTAATTTCGAACATTTGTTAAAAGTTCTTATTATTTTTCAGATCTCCAAACAGTAGAAAGGAAAGTGAATGAACAAATATACAGTACGTTAAGTGAATTTATTGGTGATATGACAAAAATTTTTGACAATTGTAGATACTTTAATCCTAAAGACTCTGAATTTTATCGTTGTGCAGAAGGTCTAGAAGCTTTCTTTGCACAGAAAATTAAATACTTTCGTGAAAAATTATTTGAATCTACTCAATGATAAGTGCCAGTGTATAGTGTTTTAAACTGTGATTAACCTGTACTGCAGAAATATTAAAAAGACTATGAATTCATCTATGTTATAGGTTCTTTGCAACCTGGTAACATCTGTAAATTGTACACAAATAAATTGAAAATATTATTTATATATAAATGATGTTGAAAATATCTATTGAGTATGTCAGTGTGGTACCTCTAAATATTTATTGTATTTATTACCTGCTTTACAAATTCGTAATTGAAAGCTGACTAGCTCTTTAGATATAAAATTATTGACAGAATAATTATGTATGTATCAGTTCTGTGAAATATTATGTTAGCTATTGTATCTTAGCACCTTTAGTTATTTTAGAAGCCTATAGATTAAGACAAACAACTTATTGTATGTAAGAAATAAATTTTTAAAATACACATCTACGTGATGATTTAAGTTTTTAGGATTTTAGTATAAAATTCTTTATTCCTGTGTATACTCAAATTCGCCCACTATCCATATCTATAACTATAGAGAAAGCAATGCAGGTGTTCGCAACAAATGCAGCTCGCTGAAACGGACCTACAATGTATCCATGCACAGGTCAAGTGGCCATTGAGACTAGAATCCTAATGGTGTTGTTTGTTTTCTGAGATGCTAAGACTATGGAACAGATTATTCTGCGACCCTAGTATCTCCTGCCCAAAGGCCTACGATTCCGTCTAGTTTTGTGCCACGTCATCTTACTATATTAATCCTTTCACGCTATGGTACCGATGGATAATCCCCCGCTCCGTCCGGACTATCCGTCCCGCCACCGATAGCGGTACGGAATTGACAAATTGTTAAAAATTAACGAATACATTTTTCAAAATTTTTTATTAGTACATTTACATAAAATCTTCAAATTTTGAATTTGCAGTCGTATATACGAAATCTTCGTATAAGGGTTAGTAAAGTTCGATGTTTAGGCTATATTAGAGTAATATAGTATAAATAACCGTGATGGTACTATTTATTGTCGTTCAAATTATACTGGTGTTTATAAAACTACCAATATACGAGGTTTTTAGTCTTTGAACGATGCAAAAAGTTTAAGGTTGGCAACCCAACTTATCGAAAAGTATTTCTTTAAATATGATATTACTGACTAATATTGGATCCATAAATAATTTCCCAATTTGTATGATGAAGATGTTATATAAAATATATATCCAAGTGTAATTTTTGTTTATTCAGCACATTTCTGTCAATTTGCACAATCACTAATCATGAATTTAAAACTGGTCACACTGTAGCTGGTTTTTTTAGAGGTTATGTTTACTGCATAATTTTGTCGAGTCAGATTTTTGAAATCTATTTAAGTACATAAAAGTTACTGATTCACTATAACAACAATAACGCAGTACAACAAAAATGTTTGTGACTTTGAAAACATTACAACAACAAAGTTTTCAAATCGAGATCGACCCAGAGGAAACTGTCAAAGCCTTGAAGCTAAAAATCGAGGTTGAGAAGGGTAAAGATTATGCGGCTGATTATCAAAGACTTATTTACGCTGGAAAGATTTTACTCGATGACAATAAGATAAGTACTTATAATATAGATGAAAAGAAATTTATAGTTATCATGGTAACTAAACCCAAACCAGCAGACGCTCCGGCTTCTTCGACCTCTGCCCCAGAGTCTGGCGAAAGCGCTTCAACTGAAAGTGGTGATGTTAAAGAGAAAACTCCTGCTGAAGAAACACCGAAACCCCCAACTGCTACAGAACCAGACCGCGCTGTTGAACCTGCAACTGTTGGTAATGAACCAGACTTTGAAGCCACAGTTCAAAGCATAATGGATATGGGTTATAATCGACAACAAGTAGAACAAGCTCTTCGTGCTTCATTCAATAATCGAGAAAGGGCAGTAGAATATTTAATAACAGGTATACCAGATGAGTTGCTTCAAGAACAAGATGCCGAAGAAGGTTCAGATGAGGACCCATTAGCATTCCTCCGTGATCAACCACAGTTTCAACAGATGCGTGCAGTTATACAACAGAATCCTAACTTGCTAAATGCAGTTTTACAACAAATTGGGCAAACCAATCCTGCATTATTGCAAGCAATTAGTCAACACCAGCAAGCATTTGTGAGAATGCTAAATGAGCCTGCCAGTACGCCAGCATCTGGAGCAGCTGCTGCTACAGAGGAGAGTGCAGCAGTGGACTCTGCACAAGCACAACAACCACACAATGTCATTCAAGTCTCCCCCCAAGATAAAGAAGCCATTGAAAGGTTAAAAGCTTTGGGATTTCCAGAACATATGGTAATTCAGGCTTACTTTGCTTGTGAAAAAAATGAAAATCTGGCAGCAAATTTCTTGCTATCACAAAATTTTGATGATTAAAATCTTTTTCATTTATAGTAATAAACTTGTTGAAGTGGAGAGACAAAATTATAAATTAAAAATACATAATAAAAAAATGTATTTCATGTTTTACTTATGTCAAATAGCCTAATAGTTGACAGTTTATATGTTCATGTGTATATTGTACACTACATTTCACAATTTGTCATGTCTAATAAATTTCTTATTGTTCCAATGCTTTATTAATTTCATTGTATAATTCAGGGTATGATCAGTAAAATTGAATTGAAATCTTGTATACAACTGGTGAATTACAATGGTGCTGATTTAAATATTACAATTAATTTACATAAATTTGTTTGACACATAATATTTATTCAGGATTATCAGAAAACAATAGAGAGGACTGATTATTTACTACAGCAAAAATTTAAAAAAAATATAAAGATTTAATAGCTCTATAACTATAAATAACTAACTCCATCTATGCTTCAAGTTTGTCATACTATAAAAAAAACTATTTTTTTTTCAAGGTACTACCTTTTTCTTATGTCTACCTACATTATAAGTATTTATATATAATAGATCCAAAAGTATTCTTGTTAAGTTAAAACTTTGAGATCAGTTTATCTTTTTATTATTTTTTCATAAATATTTCATGGACTTATAAATAAATAAAACAACACCAATATTATACAACGTCAGAAGTATGGGCTCTGAAAGCGAAAGTTACTTTCAATATAAAAATTGATGTTAACAATTGGAATAGTAAACTTTTAAATAAAAATTATGATTTTTAATAATGATAACTACATTCACAGAATGTAAACGAGTATATAGTATAACATTCTTTTAATTTCTGAATTGCAGTGGACTATATATTATATTATGGATTAATTAAAAAAAATATTTATATAAATAAATAGAAACTGGTTTTTATTATCAAACAATTAGACATTCCTACAAAAATTGTTTTAATGTACGACTATGAATGAGGTCTCCGCGCTAGTAATTGATCAAGTTATCAACGTTATATTTTTCCAAATAAAATACTAATTAAAAATTTATCATTCCTACCTTTTTACTCGTGCAAAGCCTAGTTTAATGATTACTTGAGCCCGGAATCAAACACTTCTTTAATTTTATTTACAGCACCAGCTAGCGCCTATAATTGTGTAAGTTAAAATAGATCGTAATCGCAATCATTTCAGTTACATTAAAGAAAAAAAAATATATATATATATTTATTATGGATCCCTTTCTTTTCTCTTTAAGGGCATTTCCCGTAATAACGGGAAATGCATGTAAGCCATTTTATATTTCAAGTCAATAAACTTGAAATGTACAATGTCAACCACCGAAGTTAAACAGTCAACCATTACAACCACAGCTTTTCTATTTTTCTTCTTTGGAAGACAGTGACAAGACAATTTTCGGAGAACATAACAATATAGAAGCAACATCTATTTCCTGCTCTCCAGGTAACAAGTTTACATTTTGAAATTCATCTATAACGGTTAAACGGAAGACTTGCTATTAGATGCTCGGGGCAGTTGATGCTGTTGTTTCAATACTAGTGAGCTATACTACTCCGACAATAGTCCATAGTGATTGACGTAGTGTAGGTAGTCTTCCTTCCAATCCGACGTGCCCGTAACGACGTCACTACCGTATGTAACGCGAGTGAGTGTTGCAAAACTGTGACACTTCTAGTGATAGTCAAAATTTAAAACAATATAGTGCAGGTGTGGAAAGGCGACGTCGCTGTGGCCTATATATACTATTATAGTACCAATTTAATCTGTACCATACATTATATAGACTATAATGAAGTATAAGATAACATTGACAAATTTACCTTGTGAATCACCAGCACAGCATCACCACCTCATTTATTCTATTCCGGGTGCATATACGGTATTGTCAGAACGCATTATTCAGTATCATTTTATTCACTACATTTTGATTAAAATTTGTTCATGTTCAGTCACCGACCATACCGAGCTCATGCTCATATTACCATTTTACTATTAATTACCATATACCCTACCAATAAATTTAATTTTATAATTTATAACCTTTTAATTATTATTACATTAAAATAAATGTGAAGTGTGTTTGTGTAATCTTAGCGAAACGGCGGCATACCACACAAATTATCTTTATGAAAAAAAATATTGACAGTGATTATGGACATGGGTTACTATTCTTCAGGACTAAAATATCACAGGCCACAGTAGCTATTACCTAATAATTTCTCTGTACCTGTTAGAACGAGGTTTGCAATCGATGTCTAGACTGGCTGGTATGGCAGATGAAATATGTTTGAATATTTGAAAAGAGAGTGTGTTTTGTCATCTTGTCTGTCGTCGTATTGATGTATCTATAACTTATCTGTATATTGTATTAAATGTGTTTTATATTATTTTATTTTGATTAGAAATATATTTTGTTTATCTTATTCTACGTTATTTACTTGAACACCACTATAGTTACTCTGTTAACGTGAGAAGTTCAGAAGTAACTTCACTAACAGTACCTACCAGAGTAGAAGCTGTCAGTTTTTCCATTTCGTTCTTGATTCTTAGGAGTCTCCACTCTATTCTTGGGAGTGTTTTTATGAAAGTTATATATGGTACGATACAACTTATTTGAATGGGCGTATACAGGATCTGGTTCTGCGGGATGGGGCAGGTCATCATTTTGTAGTACCTATACACCTTCTTTATACTATAAACATACCTGCAGACGACCTACATGAAATAAAAAGTATATGTAGTGTGTAGGGGAAAAACACGTAAGAAACTCTTTTAGATAGATAGATAGTAAAAAAGATAAGTATAGGTTTAAATTAAAATTATATATTTCATTCGACTTTTAAAAGTAACTTCACGATGATCTTCAGCGATTTATGAAGTCTTCCGTGAAGGAATCGCCCGTAGGTACAAGCTTTTTATACAGTTTTTCACATCAGGAATTGTTGTTTTTTATAAAAATCTAATTATGCAATTTTGGTTTTCATCAAAATCGACCACGACTCCTTTGAGCATTTTTCGTTTGCGTTTAGGATTTAACCTGTCGTGCCCACTTGAAAAATCACCTCTAAATACTCCGTCGTTTTTGTCCACGATTGTGGACCATGGCCACTGTAAAGTATTCGAAACGTCGGGAAAATGCAGTTATTGCTTGCTGCCTGATTGCTTTTAGCAATAAGGCCGCCTTATTGTAACGATACACGTGTACTTTTGTTATATTGTTTGTGCTAATTATCCGTAATGTAAATCAGTTTCATTTAAAATGCAATATGGGTTATTAAATTTTCCTATATTTTATTTAGGTTTTAATCCAAATTTCAATGTTTTATGTTAGTGCATATATAGTTCAAAATATTTTATGCATTTACTGTGCTATTCTATGCCGTAGGTATTTATCTTAATATAATATTATAAACGCGTAAGTTTGCGAGTATGTATGTGTTACTCTTTTAGCAAAAACTACGAAACGGATTTTGATGAAATTTTACTGTAATATAGCTTATGTATTAGAATAACTTATAGCCTATTCTTTTTATAGAAATTGATGTATTGAACTTTAACGCAGGTGAAACCGCGGTCACTGCTGATATATAATAATAGAATGAACCGTTGGCATTATTTCAAATTAACTGTAAACGGTTCAAGTAAACGAACGCTCGGCTTGATTCGGAGAACTTCGTCCGTCGTCGGAGCGGTTGGGACGCTTGCTTATTAAGCGTTTTATTTTCAAAGTTAACGCATAATATTGTAAATTAAACGTATTCCAAGAGGGGCAGCTGCCTTCCTCTGCCTAATACATGGGCGTACCCAGGGCGGGAGAGTACGCCCATGTATGTATCTGAATTTATACACATGCGGAGCATTCCAGAGGTAAATAATGAAAGATGTGTAATGACCAGTATTGAGGTTGATTTGAGTGGTGCATGAAAATCAACAAGGTTTTTCATGCATTAATTTATCGTAAATCGACAGATCAGCTGGGCGGATAAATGTGAAATTTTATAGTGTTTTAATTTGTAAGTGTCAAATTAAATAGAAGTTCTTAATAACATATTATTTGATAGGGTTAAGCATTACGTTAAAATTTGCTAACATATATATAACATGCCACCCAATATACAGTTTGAAGCAAAACGGTACAAATTCTCAATAATCAAGTATCAAGACTTATTTTGTTGTCATCGTTAAATTCAAAGTAAGGGATGAATTTTAACTTGGTTCCCGCATACAGAGTTGGTTATCGTACGTTCAAATAATAAGAAAACTACAATAATACATCAAACAGTTAATATTATTAATATTTATAAATAGCATTAAGTTAACATAAAAAGCTATCTTGGTATAAACTTTATTCATTCTAAAAGGCACTTTGCACAATGTCTATATTTAATCTTAAATCACTTGCCATGATTGATGTTGATTTATTGAAGATAATCTGCTACAATGGTATTCACGCCATCTAATGGTAATGGAGTACACATAGGTACTAAAGTTTGTGTTATAAATAATCTGGTCAAGTCAATCATGGCAAATTATAATTCATAAAATCTTAATTTTACTCTGGTAGTCATCTAAATTACCCTTTCACAAAAAATATAGTCATTTTTTTTGTAATTTATAATGAAAGAATGGGACTGTCGTTCGTAATAACCTACTTACACCAGCAATGATTCTTAATTCATAATGATACTTTGAAATGCAGTGAAAATTAATTATCATTGAAATGTACAACATCAACCATTCCTTGTCATTCACAAGATTATAATAACTATTAAACTATATACAAAGAAATTTCATTTTTATTATAATACATACATTCTTTACAATTTCTATATCTCTATACACAATGTACATAATATTTTAATTTCTTATTTCTCACATTTGAGAAGAAATAATGATAGATAAAAACTGTACATTGCAATATGGCTATTGCACAAAATAACTAAATATTATAACTTTGGCTTACCCACAAACACCTGATAGGTGTTAAAATTCATTAACAACCATGTTAAATTTATAGAGGACAAATTCACCGATATCTTGAATCACAGACTAAAGTGACAATAAAAAAGATACCATGGCGACCATAGTTTGTTAAAACACAATTGACAAGAACGGACAGACAGGCAAGTAAAAAAATTTCATAAATCAATTGTCGTATAAAATGAGCATATTCACAATTAAACTAAAAAGAATAATTTTATTACTATAAATTTTTTGACCCAAAAATGGCACTTGAATGCTTGATAAGACTTTAACTTTATATAGTATTACAGAAAATATAGTATTTGGAATGGTCAACAATATTTATAGATATAATTAGGTATTCAGGATAAGTATTTAACATTTTAATCATTATTCATTTCATATTATTATTACCTAGTTCGTTTATTTTTACTGTATCTAAAATCAAACTGATATTAAAAACAATAACAGAAAATTATAAAACAGATATTAACAATTCAACATATCAAAATAATCTAACAATACTTTATAAAAATTCACTTGATATTAAATGGTAATCCAAGAACATTATTTGACATAATTGAATTCATTCCAATCAAGTCTTACAATGTGACTCATTGCATCAAGAGGGGAGCAAACGCATATCCATTTCGACAGCAATATGTAAGCACAGTGATCATGTGTGCCTCAAAGTTTTCACCGGCAGGGCAACGGCACACCCGGTTAGCCGGCTGGGTCTCATTCTGTTTTCTGCTGGCAATATAGTTCTTTTAGAGATTTAAGTTCCTCTATCAGTGCTTTGTTTTGATTTTCAAGCACTGCGACTCTATTTTCAAGACATTTAATGTATTCTTTTTTCTTGCGACGACATTCCCGCGCAGCTTCCCGATTCTTTAGTAGTCGTAGTTCACGTTTACGAGTTTGGTCTTCTAGCATTGGACCTAAAATAATAGTACGATTTGTTCGTGTCTTTGATAAAACATGGTATAAATATAAATATATAAAATTTTATTTGCATTTGATTAAAATATACTAACCCGGCACATAGAACTGGCCATCCTGATTAGTCGCATATTGTACAATGGCACCGCCGCCAGCGGCTCCTGAAACAGCCAGTGTATGCAAACCACTGTCTGTTTGAAGTGCTCCAGCTGGTATCACTAAAAATTTTTTTTTTATAAATATTCACATAATACTTTTTATGTTGTACATATTAATTAAAAATAAGTTAAAACTGATAGAATCCAAAACAATACTATTGTTATATAAAGATTGTGCTCTCTTGTTAAAAAAAAAGATCTAATAAATACATAAGAAAATTACATTAAGCAATACCTATCGCAAATGACAATTCCAGAAAGTCAATATTGCCGTTAGTAAATGTAATGGTTACAGCAATGATTTATTCATTTTGAAAATATCATGAATATTATAAACACTATACCTACCTGAAACATAGTCAATTATAAAAATTATTTATCAAATGTATTACGCGTAACAAAAAGAACTCTACATCATACATTAAGTCAGTTCATTTAGCTTATCATGGTGAATTTACACAATTATTCCTAGGATGTTTTCCAGTAGGTAGATATGATAATATATTTTGTTTTTTGTTTGTTCAACAAATTGTGCCACCAGGAGTATAGAATAATCATTAATAGTAATGAGACCTTTATCCTATAGTTGCTATAATAGTTAGTTATTAACCCTCTCCCAAATTTGAGATAAAGGTTCGAATGCTAACAAAGTACCATGTAGGTTGACTTCCACTCGATTTCCCTAGAAATTACTAGTGAATTTGCCAGAGTAGACTCAGTCCCATGTATGTACACATATAGTGCAGGAGCAAGAAAAATAAAAAAGACAATAAATAATCCTTGTAAAAATGTGTCTTTCTGTTGTTGGCATTACTTATTCCATACATACACTATGTAATAATGTAATGCCTGGAACTGGAACCAATTCTAAAAATCCAATTGCAATAATAAAAAGTTCCACAACACAATTGGAGGTGATACCCGAACTTAGATTGTACTCCAATAGGTGACCCTATTGAAGCACAGTCTCAGTTCGGGTATCTAGGGGAGCGTAGGGTAGTGGTATTTTTCTACAAATGCTATAACTTCTCCTTTTCTACCCCAGATTGAGTAGTGGTTTAATGAAAACCTAGAAGATTTATTTAAGTTTGAAACAATTTTGCAAAAATAGTCTTACTTAGTAATCCAGTTTTTTATAAAATGGCAAAGTATACACTATGAGCAATTTATAATGACTATTTAAAACCCAATAAAAGATGTTTATATATATACATTGTAAGTTGTAAGAGCTTCTCTTGGATATCAGTGAAAAATTTTCGCTCTGAGTAATTTGGTGTAATATTTGTGCAGAGTCGTGTACGGAATATTCATAAATTTAGCTACAGGTTTAATTTTTTACACTGCAGATATTTCAAATAAATTGTACTTCCGTATGCAGACCAATATTGGTCTTCCTTTTCCTATTCCGTGACATTTTTCCTACAAAAAAATCTTTTAATCTGTCACTGTATCCCAACTTAAAACAATCCACTGATAGATATCCGATTTAAGAAATCGCAATATTTATTTTATTTGCTAAATAAATAAATAAGACTAATAAAATCCCTGTACATTAACTATAGACCATAACAAACAATTAAATCTTGCAAAATCTTTGCACACAGAAAGGCAACACGTTTTGCAAAAACATGTAAAAAGATATTTATTATCTTACTTGTTGACTAGTAAGCATGCGACGCAAACCCTATCTCTCAAATTAAGATCGACTAGTTAGAACGCAGAAGAAATGTAAGAACGACAACGATGCGAAAACGCAAGTGTTTGTGCATATTAGATGCAAAGCTACAATGATTTATCCACTGTGACCCGTGATCCACTGTACCCCACGCTCCCTACTCCCCACGAGAAGAGACATTTCACTTACTATAACAATATTGATTTAATATAACGAATGTTTTACAGATATTTATATTTAAAGCATAATATGATATTTATGTCAACAAATCCTTAGGCATAGAATTACATAAGTCTCTTTAATTAGATAATTAAAGACCTAATGTAATACTATGCCTATGGATTTGTTGACATCAAAACGCAGTGTTTTGTGTAGACTAAAGATTTTTAATTACGTATATGAAAATGTTATGAGATTAGAACCGTTTTTTAATTTATTGTAAGGTTGTAATAATTTGATTCAATTTATAGGTACTTCTAAAATTGAAGTTTATACCTAATTTTTTTTAAAGTGGTATTCGTATTTAAGTATATTTTTATTTAATATAAAATAAAATATTATAACACAACCTCTAATATATTATATCTAATTTTAGTTAATATGTAGTTTGATAGAATTGTCTGTAATTAGATAAGAATATTTGTACTACTAATATTCTAATAGTGTTTTTAATTATGGTGTTTTATTTGAAAACTCTATTCCGAATTTAATTTAAACTAAAACAAACCGTACTTAGTAAATAATAATTTATAACTAGACCAGTCCAACCAATAAATGCCTAAGAGCATGTATGACGAGGGCAGTTTCAATGAAAAATAAATACAGTAGGTACATCATATTTGTTATGCTAAAATAAATACAAGGAATTATATATTTTTTTAAATTGAAATCTTAATTAAATAATACCTTAAAAAGTTTTACATAAACAACCGCACGAATCAGGTTAGCATGACGTCACCCACACGCTTGCGCCCGATTACGTCATTAGGTAGAATGTCAGTTAGCTACAGTGGTAGGATGACGACATCGTTTTTGTGTAAATAGGTAGACTAAACATGAAGCATTTCAATTGCTACAAAGAGTTTAAGACTACGTAGGTATGAAGACCAAGCTATTAAACTATAATTAATATAGTCACGGTTTCGTTGTGAGCAGAATAAAAAGTTTAAGATTGATATACAAATTATTAGTATACATATGTATAACCGAGAATTTGATGTATGTGGCACATTAGAATAATTATCATTCCAAGGAACACAGTTTTATAGAACATCAAAAATGTACCTACCTTACAACTGACAGACTTATAAACATATTTAAATGATGTAATTTAAACATTAAGTTTACGTGTAATTGTTAAGAAATTAATTGCAAGTTATGATTAATGTTAGGTCCTTAAAATGAATCACCTAATGGTATGGGCCCATTCAAATTTAATCCAATAATGGAAAATGATTAAGATGTGAAAGTTGGCAAAGATGTTTGGATGTTTATTACATAATCCCTTACAAAAAGCTAAATGGACTTGAATGAAATAGTTATACAGATGGACCATATCCTAGATTAACACATAGACTGTTCTGAATTCACGCAGACAAAACCGCATGATGCGCTAGTTTATTGTTTCAAAATAGATCACAGAAAAATGTGTCTGAAAATATAATGACATAACTCCAAATTTATTGGTGATTATGAAGTATGTAAAACACAGAGCTGGTGGATCGTAACAGGTTAGTGACACATGTTGCACACAGAAACAAGTAGTGTCAGCGGCAGCACATTAAACTGACCTGGAGCAAATGACAAAGGAGACGACAGCGACACTTCATTTTCACATCCTGGTTTAGATCCCATGCGATTTTCTGTAATGTTATCAGGGTCTTATACTCTTCAGTACCTTTTATCTGATATTCATCCCCCTTATGAAATTTTTACTTTTTACACTGATATGTCAATAAACAAATAAACCTACTGCATTCAGAACTGCTGAAGAATTTTATTTGTAAGTATACCACTTAAATAAAATAACTATAATTATTTACTTTGAAACCTATAATTATATTTTAAGTGATAACACTAAACTTAATCAATTGTCAAAAAGCACAATCTTTATATTTTTGTACAAACACCATCAGTATTGCCAGCTTGTTTTTAAACCTAATCAAGCAAAAAATTAAAAAAACCAATAAGTTTTTTAACATTATTAAGTAAAGTATATTAAGGTAACTAGATATAAAGTTAGATATATAGCCATTACTCATTCCAGTTTGTAATCCATACAATTACTGACTGTTAAAATTATACAATGACTACTAACCAGCAATTTCTGCTCCTCCAAGGTCATTAAGTATCTTTCTGTAGGATGGACGTCTACTCAACATTTCTCGATACTTTCTTTTGGGGCTTTCATCATCACTACAACTGTCATCACTGCAGGATTGACCTTGTGCACCCAATACTGCATTAGGTTCTGGCTTTATCTGAAATTAATATGTGAGATTTTAATAAATCTTATTTAATTAACTTTTCATATTAAAATTCAAAGCTTTTATTATTTGATTACAAACAATTATTTAATTAATTTATATTTATCAAATATTATTAACTTCAATGAAAACTGTGTCACAAATAGTATACCAACAGCAATTTTAGTATTGTAAACAATTGTCAAGAAATACTTATAAAAACATTTAAATTTTAATGTAATAAAAAGACTGGTTAGGTTAGGAACTTACCTGCAAAGTTTGCAAAGTCCCCTGGGTAGTATGTATTACAGAGCTTGGTTTACCTACTAGTATAACATTTCCTTTTGGTAATTGAACAGATTGTATATTGGATGCTGTTTGTATTACGGACTGTTGATTGGGCTGTATCACACTCTGAACCTGAAAAATATAAACAATATTTATATTATACATCAACATTTAACCTACAATAAGATTTTAATAAGCAAAACAAATTTAGCCTGATTTACACAGATGTCTTGTTCTAATGTGATTTTAATGGTAAATATGAATAACAAACTATGCTGGTAAACACATAATATTATTATCGCGTTATCATATCAAAACAAGTACCTGTGCTGACGGCGCCTGTGTGGGTAATGTGAGCTGCACAATGCTGGTGACAACAGCGTGAGGAGGGCCGCCTGCGGAAGGCCCAGTGGATAATGCGTCAGGGGCGCCTGCTCCACCGGAGGTGCCGTTCTCCTCCACCATTCCGTCCATGCCCACTAAGGTCACCTAAAATATTCAAGGTCAACCTTCTGTGTACATCACGCTCTTCGCCACTTACGGTAGAAACAATCTTTCATATTTATCACGAAGCTCTGATGACCATATTGGAGAGATAAATCCCTAAAACTAAATCATCGCGTCATAGTCAAGATATTTTCATTATTGCGTCTAAATTATACGCAACATATTTTTCATTAGCTCGAGGACTTGTATACGTTGTTGAAATTGTTCTAAAATTATATAGAACAGTCATATTTTGTAAACCCAAATTTAAGTGACCGTGACAGGTCGCAAGTTTTGTCTTCATTACAAGCACTCACCAGTTACGTATTCCTCGTCACCGTCTATGCTGCGTCCGGAGTGGGCGAACGGGATGGTACGTAGTAGCCACGTCAACTGCGAGAAGACTCGTCACTGGCGGAGACCTATGATCTTGTATGCGTCATAACAATATGGCCGAAATTTGTCAGACGCATGCGCGGTTATGCTTTCCGTCGGTTTTTCTCACTATGTATCTATGTATATAGATACCTATGTATTATAGGTAGGTATGTAAGAAATTTCTACTAAACAACAAAGTCAACAGGAAGACAAGACAATGTCATTCTGTCAGTATAATTTTAAGCTCTCTGTGGGGTGACCAGATTGAGAAAAATTTTGCTTTTACAGATATAATTGAATGATTTTGAAAATGTGTATTATGATTAAAACATTTTTACATAACTTTTCAAACAACTACTCTACGTTTCCATAATGTACTCTGTAGTTTACAAACGACTGTAGACTAAATTGTAAAGAGCTAAACTACTCAAACAAGTTCCCGTGGAGGTGGATTCTTTTAAAATATCTTAGGACAATTCACACAATTCTGCTTAGCTTGGTACTACATAGTGTAAGAAAGAAGAAATTAATTTGTTTTTTAGAAGGATGTCACAAGCGCTGTTTAAATATAACAGTTGTTCTGTAAAAACGTAAAATTCTTTTATTCCAATTTTCCTCGTAAAACCTTTCAGGTTATGGGCTATCACATCAAATAATAAGTAAAAATAAATAATACTGAAATAAAAATAGAGTAGAACAACAGTAAAAATATTTAAAATGGCAGTCGCAACGGCTGAAGAAATTCACCGAATTTGTCTTTTGGACGAGGTCACTTCCTTTCAGCTATGGAAATTTGAAATAAAAATTCTTCTCGAAGCAAAAGTCTATTAGTCAATATATTGATAATGCAGAGGAATATACTACAAACAGGTACAGACTATGACAAAACATATTATTCTGCAAAGTGTATTAAAAAAGCATAAAACTCAATTGTTCCAATGGATAACTGCATACGAAATGTTTAAGGTACTATGTGATGTTTTTGAAGGCACAGAAGAACGAAAAAAAATGAATTTGCTTTAAGATTTTTACAACTATAAATTAGAAAATGACATGTCCAAGGATGAAAATTTTACAAAGCTTGAAAATTTAATACATAGACTGACACAATTAAAAATGACATTTGATGATGCAATAATAGAATCTAAAATACTAAACATTCTTTCAAATATAGACAATTACCAATCTTTCGTAACAGTTTGGGAAAGTACTCCTAAAGAAGAAAGAACGCTAAAGAACTTAAAAATAAGACTAGTAAAAGAAAAATGAGAATATACAATCAGTGGCCTTGGTTGCTGGAAGTAAAGGTAGAATGCATAAAAATACAGATAACGGTCAGGCATCTAGCTCGTATTCTACTAATGTGTGTTATAAATGTAATAATATTCTGTAAAATTTGTAAGAAAACAAATCATAAAGAAAAAGATTGTTTTTTTGGGAAAAATAAAAAAGAAAATAATGTAGCGCTCTTAGCAGCAAGTAACAATGTTATAAGTGAGAGACCATATTTTGTTCTTGAGACTGGTTGTACCGTACATATGGTCAACCACATAACTTTACTCTCAAATATTAAATCCAAATCTATTGATATTGGTATAGCTTAAAAAGATGCGACTATGGAATCACAATATTTAGGTGATTTTATAGTAACAGAATGTAATGTAACGAACGTTTTGTGTGTGCAAGACCTTTCGCGTAATTTATTATCCCATCAAAAACATAAATGTGAAATGATAGCCGAGTTTAATATTATGATATATACCTTGATTGTTGACTTCTACGACAAAAGAGATGAGATCTAAATGGGTGCCAAGTTCAATGGTCAGTCCTGAAATGTATTTATAACAATATAAAATATCATTTCTTCTTATAACTTAGGATAATATACTGTAGCCTAAGGTCTAACTTGGCCAGTTCTCATATACCAATTATTACTTTCTATTGCTAGTTACTACTAATATTAAAATAGGAACCGACAAGTAACATGTTTAGAACTTGCGAAGGCTACAGTATATTTCGTATATGAATTATTTATTTCAATTTTTTCCTTTATATTCACCTAATTACCTATCTGCATGCCAAATTTTGAACTTCCTAGGTCATCTGGAAGTGGGTTATAATTTTGATCTATAGTTGATCAGTGATAAAAATGACGATTTTTGGACATTAATATCTAAATAACCGTTTGAGATATGTTTATGAAATTTGGAACACATATTTATCTCGTAAGTCTCAATATATGAACCAAATTTGACAGGTTTGTGTGAAAGAGTTTTTGAGTTATGAGGGGGTCAAAAGTGGCTCCAAATGGTTCGTGTAAATATACACACGGTGCTGCTTGCCAGTTTACTTGAAACTCGGCTTTGACACGCTACCGCGTGTCTAGATCTGTTCCAGAGTTTGTTAAAAACGGTGGTACCTGGTAAAAAAGAAGATTCAGGATATATTGTAATAAAACTGGCTAAATCAATAAAATTTGAAAAACAGGCATACTTGTCTAATGTAGAAAATGATAACTCAGCTGAAAATTGGCATATAAAATTAGGACATCCAGGTGAGAAAATTTTACCTGATGTAGTAAATGGCGTAAAAATAGAAAATTAAAAAGGTATGATGACGAGTTGTGAAGTATGTATAAGAGCCAAACAACCATTCAATTCAATCAAAACTGTAAGAACTAGAGCAAGTTGGAAACTTGAAATAATACACACAGATGTTTGTGGTCCTTTACAAACGGAAACGTGGAATGGTTATAGATATTTTTAACTGTTTTAGATGAATATAGCCACTACACAAAAGTGTATCTCTTAAAATTTAAGGACGAAGTTACAACATTTTTAAAGAATTTTATTGTAGAAGCAGAACAAGAATCAATTTTAAAAGTTGTTACAATTCGTTGTGATAATGGTGGTGAATATACTTCACACAATTTTAAAAGTTATTGCATTGAAAAGGGAATAAAATTAGACTACTCTGTACCATACTGCCCACAATTGAAAGGAAAAGCCGAACGTATAAACAGAACTACATATACTCGAAAAGATTCGTTTTTGCTATACATGTCTGAAATGAAAAAAGAAATTTGGGGTGAAGCTCTTTATTGCAGTGTATATCTACTGAATCAACTACCAAGTGAATAAATAACAAAACACCATTTTAACTATGGTATAGGGAAGGTTACCAAATCTTTCGAATGTTAGAGAATTTGGATGTGATGCGTTTGCAAAGATACCTAGTAAGAAAGCTACCTAGTAAGAAATTGTATGCTAGAGCAGTAAAATATAGAATGATAGGATATACAAATAATGGATACAGCCTTTCGGATGATATAAAAAGAAAAGTTATTGTAGCCCGAGATATTACATTTGTAAAAGAAACATTAAAAATTATGATAGTGAAAAAAGGACAAGAAAGCTACCAGAAAAATACAAAGACTATGTTTTGCTAACCTACGAAGAAGTATTAAATAAAATGTAATAGAAGTATAAAAATGCAACAAAAAAATAAAAGAATTGGGATTTAGTCAAGTAAGAAACGAACCTTGTATTTATAAAAATCAAGATATGTTAGTCCTTTTAGCTATATATGTTGACGATGGACTAAACATTGGTAAAGTAGAAGACTTAAAACAGCTGTTGTTTTGACTAAACGAGAAATTCGAGATAACATCGTGTTCTGGACCTAAGTGGTATTCGGGTATGGAATTAAAAGCAGATAATGTAGGATGGCATCTAACACAAATTGTAAAATACACCAAATCACTTTTAAAGAAGTTTAATATGAATAAGTGCAAACATGCCCAGATACCCGCAGGAGAGGGAGAAGTAGAGTGCGACAAAGAGGAAAAGTTGCTGTACCCTTATAGAGAAGCTGTAGGCAGTAGGATATAGCGTTTGCTGTCAGTAAAGTTAGTAGAAATATGGAGAATCCTCAGAAAAGGGACATAGTAGCAGTTAAAAGAATCTTTAGATACCTTTCCGGTACTATAGAGGATGGTTTGTGTTACAGGTTCGATTCCAATCTAAAGTTAACATCATTTTGTGACTCTGACTATGCGGGTGATTTAGAAACTCGTAAAAGTACTACAGGATATGTTACTAAACTTGGTAATGGACCAATTGCCTGGTGCTCAAGAAGGCAACTTATAATAGCATTGTCTTCTACAGAAGTGAAGTTCATTGCGGTAGCAGAGTGCTGCAAACATACTATGTACCTATATCAAGACGCTTTTAAGTGAACTAAACGATAAACCAGAAGACGTGTTATTTAAAATTGATAACCAAAGTGCTATTGCTTTGATTAAAACGGGCGTATTTAATAAAAGGTAAGTACATAGATGTTCGTTACCACTATATCCATGAATTGAATATAAATAATGAATTTAGCATAGATTATTGTCCAATAGAACTGCAAATAGCAGATATACTTACAAAAGCCTTAAATAAAATAAAGTTTGATAAACAAAAATTCTCTCTGTTAAGAGGACTATTACAAAATGATGCCGCTCAACTTTAGGTTTAAACGCATGGATTTACGCACACATACAGTAATACACGCACACAGACGCAAATAACCGTGTAGCTCAATCGGTGTGGATTTAGTATGAACCATTTTGATCCTTGTAATATTTTAATTAATAATGTGATATGTTTCTACTTAACTGAGACTACTTATTGGATTTTTTTAAATAACGTGATTTATCTTAATTATCAAAGTGCTAATAATGACCATATTTTTTTATTATATTATTCCTAGAGGGTTGATGTCAGGATGCTGGCCGATTGTACAACTAAAAGCCAAAACCTTAAGTAATATGAGTAACAAATAATTGGGATAAGGACAGAAAGATGAAATTACTATAACATAAATTTACTAATTAATTCTTCTTACATATTAATTCAGTTTATTTATTAATAGATACAATATAATTTATTATAAGATACAATATAATTATTTTATTTATATATAATAGTTCTGTTTTCAAGGCTTTGTTTTGATTTAAAGGTCCCATCTTTATATGTATATTAGGTGTGTCCGCGACTTCGTCAGCGTGGTATAATGAAATTGACCAAATAAAGGAAATATATTTAGATTATAACCTAAAAAAGTTTCTTTGTTTCAATTAAACAATGACGATACTTTTATACA